GCGAGCGGGCGCTTCCGCAAAGGGCCTTTCCAAATTCGAAATTTTCGCCCCATTTTCCACCTCAGCTGCCTGCCTGGCGTCTGTGGGTCCTGGAGGATCACTGGACCAGATTTGATTTCAGCCGACTGGTAGGAACCGAAGTCTCCTGCTAAGCGTCTCTAAATAGCAGAAAACTCCCAATTCGCCACTTGTGGCTTTCGACGAGGATCCCTTGGCAAAGGTTAAATGCAATCGAAATGGGCTGATGCGGGCCTCAGGCTTTGAAATTAGCGTTGAATATCGAGGTCGAAAGTAGGATTGGAATTTCAGCTTGGAAACGAGGATTTTTAATTTGCATAGAAACTGAAGTGTGTGTGTGTGTCCTCCTGCTCTAGTTGTCTTTAAATAGCAAAAAACTTGTAGGTCCTTAAAAGGACCTGATGTATCAGAGATGTTAAAATAAAATAAAAAATGAAAAATAACGAAAATCGAAAGTAGGAACCAAGTTTCGACTCGAGGCCGCGCGGATGCGAATTGTCGTACTCGGGGCTGTAAGAATCGGCCGATTGCAAGCGAGTACTCGCCGAAAGCGGCGAGCATCACGGTACGAAAATAGCTGAGATGGCTGAATATACGTGAATGCGCTCGCAAATACTCAACATGTAACTTCGCAAGTTCCTCGAACGCGTGCGCCTCGCCGGGGCGCGCGTTCGCGTAATTGTGTAATTACAGTATGCGAGAGCTCGACGACGACATAAGCGACGGTCGCGAGCTCCTTCAGCACGGGGGTGCACGGGGGTGCACGGGGGTGTACGGCGGCGGGGTAAAAGCTACTGTTCGGCTCTGCCTCGCGCGCGCGAATGTGGAACATCGATTAATCGGCCGGCCGTGCGCGCGAGGCTGTTTACGGCTACGTAAGAACGCTGACGTAGGTGAGTTACTCTGGTGAATTACCGCGCCATTCGAGCTGAACGGCGTCCGCTCTCGACGGCGGCGTGATCGCGTCGAGTCGACTTTGACGGCGTTTCGTTAACGCGCGTTCATTTCTCGGACTGATTGCACAAAAGCCCCGATCGAATCGCGAATAATTGAGACACCAACCTTCCTCGTCTCGCTCCGTCGGCGTCGGCTCTCCGCCGGCCGAATTTCCCAGCGTGATTTTTCCATTGGCATAGGCAATTACGTGCGCATTATACGTAACTTGCTGAGACATCATAGCGCAAACCACCACGGTGACGTTCGACGCGTCAAAGGGATGCCATAATTGCAAACTTTGCCAACAAAGGGCCGACTTTTTTTCCGCCGAGTTCACGTTGCACACTGGTGGCACAGAATTACGAACGCTCCTACGTTCCGTACAAGCACGCGCAGGAATGAATGAGAGGGGATTGCTCAATATGTGACGAGAAGGATAAAAAAAGCCTCGAGACCGACGTACCACCGAGCTGTTAATTAGCGGGGATATTTGTTTGACAAGTTCCGCGACTCGTACGCAGCGAGCGTACGTTCGCACCGCTCGACTCGGGGGAAATTCTGCAGCGAACATTGTTGCAGCTGAAAATAGAAACACTTACAAACACACGCGGAGAGTTTGTAGGAAGATTTATGCATACGCGTAGTTACATTTTTTCTTTCCGCTGAATCCGGCCAAACAACAAAGCGGCGCGTACTCGCGTAAGATAAGAGCAGCGCGATTGTGTGTGTTAGTGCGCATCCGACATGACGACGTATGGACGATCGCGTCCGCGTCATCGACGTTTCTCGAGGCTCCTCGTCCACTTCGACGTCCTCTTGACTGCCGCTTGTTAATTACTATTAATTCTTCCGCCAGCCGAGGAGATCGAACGCGCGCGTTTTCGTGGGAGGTCGCGCAACCCGATTTCGCGATTCGCCTCTTTCCCCTCGATTCTCGCCTGGCGATATTTTCGCGATGTAACACGCCCGAATTGAAATTCGAGCCGCGACGGGCTAATGGGCCGCGATAGCGCGCGTCTTGTACCGCCGTATCACCGCGGGCGATTTATATCCGGTGAAGCGGCGAAAGAGAGAGGGCAAGAGACGGAAGGGAGGGAGGGAGGGAGACAGATACACACACTCTCGTGATCGATCCCGATTTCTTGAACTTTTTCCTTGCCTCAGCCACCGCCTCCGCGGCCAAGTGTAAATTATTCTGATAACCGCGCGCGATCCTCGCGAGGTCGACGATCCTGCTCCTTAATGGGTTCGCCAGGACGTAAAATCCGCTCGGGGCCAGACGGCGCCAGCCTCCCGGCTCCTTGCCATTACCGGCAGCCTATATTCTGCTACCCTGCCGTGCGTGTGCGCGCTCCCAAATAATTCAATCGTCAGTGTGCAGAGAGAGAGAGAGAGAGAGAGAGAGAGAGAGAGAGAGAGAGAGAGAGAGAGAGAGAGAGAGCCAAAACTCAATGAGATGTGAGGAGGAGACGATAACCGCTGCAGAGTGCTCGATCTGCGACAAATAGTATCGGGGACTTGCGACATTTCGTCGGCGATCTTATCGGCTCGAGAGATGATTCGCTCGCGGAATTCAATAATTGCCCGAGAGATAACGGGAAACGATGGCAGATACTCTCTCTTTCTCTCTCTCTCTCAGCTGGGAGAGAAATTCTCGCTACAGATTATTTCGTCAATTGCGTCTTCTTGTTGTTCCGACGAAGGGTACCGGGGAGACTTCACTTTCTATGTAAATTCAATGAATCTACAAATGTTGGACAGCTGAGGTCGCGAGAATAGGGCTGAAATTTCGACTCGCGTGGTACTTTCCTCAGCGCTTGGCCGAACATGACGCGTGCAGTTTCGTTATTTTTGATGACTAGAAATCCATACGATTTCCTTCCGCAAGCTCTCAATATTTCAAGTTGTGCGATTCGTGACTTTTGTGACCTTGTATTTTATCAGCAAGAACGGCTCTAGCGGGAAGAGAGGTCAAAAGAAGGTGATGTTGTTGCGATGGTTGCGCGCATAAATTTAACAACGCAAAAGAGAAAAAGACGCAGTAATATACGGAGGAACGCTTCGTGGCGCCGACAAATACCGGCGTGGATAACGGCGATTTATGCACTTTTGGGTATTCTTGATCGATTGACCGGGTATGCGCGCGCGCGCGCGAGCCAAGTTGTTTTCGAATCGCTCCATCGGGGTTACGTCCTTGGTCGCGTGCCGCTCCTCCTTGCTGGTCGCGCGCGCGGCCCACATTTTTATCGACGGAACTGTTTATTTTTAGGAGTATATACGGACAAAATACGGGCCGCCGGCGCGACGTCGTACTTCGCTACGCAAATCGAACAAACGGCGCGGCGGAGGCGGCGGCTGCTTTCGGCAACGTGGCCGGGAATATCGCGACGTTCTATGTAGGACGCCTCGCGAATGTCGATTGTACCGACGACGGCTCTGTGCAATAGTGGGAGACCTTCCGGTGAACTTCCGTGCGAATTCGCGCACGCTCGGAGGGAAATCGGTGAGGTCCGGAAGAGTCGCATCCGCGATAAGCATCGGCGGAAGAAAAAACGTCGAAACCTAAGAAGCGGAAGAATCTCTCGGGAAGTCGCAATATCGAAATCCGATTAGCAAGACAATCTGCTGAGATTCGGTTCTACCGAAAATATTGGGGAACTCGTTGTATAGCTGGTATCGATAAGTGGATATGCGCTGTGTGTGCACCGAGATATTAAAATCCCGAAATTCGCGAAAACCGGGACAATTTCGCGAAAGCTTTGCATCTCTCCAGACGATATCCCGGTACAATTTCGCCACGGTATAGTCCCGAGGAGGAACCATTGTCCTGAAAACACTACATACAAGTGTATTAATATCTGTCCATATTCTTGCTGTACTCGAATGAGTAGATACTAACTCGAGTTTTAAGTTTCACGGCATTTTTCAAATTTCGACACATCTTTCTGCGGAATAATGAACGTCCACCCATTAGTGTCCATTTGCTTGAGCAAGAATTTACACAACGGTTATCATGTTTCTTTCCGGTAAAATTAGGAACGCATGGTATGGTATCACGACTGTGAATCATTGCTTGCGAGCTTAGTCAGTGTTCGATCGTGACAAAAGTGTTGTCACGGTACACGATATAAGTATGAGCTCCTCACTAAGTTCTTGTCTATTATATTTTTATATATAATCCTACCGTACATCTCTTTCCTTTTTTACATGACCAAAGGGTGCCTCCCCGTTAATAAAAATATACTATGCTATTTACTATACTATCTGATAGATGAGAATATCTTAAAGATATTTATGTTTCTCCCAAGTACCTTGAGTAGTTGCTCGCATTCGTGACCGTTTCTGGAAAAAAATGTGCGCAAACTCCTCGGGACAATTGTACGTTTCGAAAAAATTGGGTTATTTGGAAGAGCAGCGTAATATTATCAGCGACATTATTAAAAGTGCCATTTTGCCATTCAACTTCTTTGCCGGCGGAAACCCGTTTAAGGGTTAACTCATTTGAGATCAATTGGGCTATTTTCAGCGACATTCACGGCAGTAGGTCGCAGATAATTTTCAAAAGTTTCATTCAGAGTTTCTCAAGCTCAAGTAAGCAAAATACAACGAAAATATCTATACGTAGATACTTCCGAGATAGACTTCCGAGTGGGAACTCTCGTTAAATGGAACATCGAGGTCGAAGGTAGGGTTGAAATCTCGTGCCGCGCCTTCCAACTCCAAGACAAGTCGCGTGTCTGACTTGTCGTCGTCGTCGTCGTCGTCGTCGTCGTCGTCGGCGGTGGAGCGCGTGACGCATGCAGTGCTCTCGTATCAGCGTTTGCCAGCAGCGCGTCGGACATGGTCGGCCGAGCGACACGTAGTTACACGTAGTCTTTCCGGGTCAACGTCCGCGTGCCGCGCGACGACGTTGTGCGACGTGTTTGTTCGCGTCACGCAGAAATGGCAGAAATGACAGAGCGGAAACAAAGGGAGGATATGCGGCGCGGAATGCACAGATCGCACAACAGGTCGATAAGTAAGCCCGCTGTCTGTCTGCTTTACAGCTGAATGAGGCTGATGGAACCCTTGGGTGTCGCGCAGGACATCGTGGAGCCGGCTGTGCTGAAACGATGGGCCGATTATCCCGTTCAATACCGCTACACGGACTACTCCGAGTCGATGAGAGAGACGGCACATCACGCTATAAGCCCTTTCCCTTGTCAGCCGTCGCTTAACAACAAGCTCGCGCTATGGTGAGATCTCGAGCTTAGTCTCGTCGCTTAATCCCGTCTGCGCGCGAGTTCAAAACACTCCCCACCGAACGGGAATGTCCTCCGCCGAAGGCCTCGCGTCGTGCCGGCCGATGTAAACCCGATGTAAGGGTACGAACGGTGCATGTAAGCACAGACTTCTACATACTAACTAGACTGCGCTAACTTTTACGTAACGTGTCCCGAGCGGAGTAAATGCGTGACGCCATGTCATCTGGAGTTTATCTACGTTATATACGCGTTTTATACGCGTATAAATCACACGGACGGTATAAATCATCGTTCCAAAGTCGATATTAGAGTTCACAGTGCGTGGCGCACGATTAAACTTTCGAAGGCATCGAACAAACGGCACATGCGCGATTCACTGGACGATGATGAATAGTGTGCGTGAAGGAAAACAGAAGAAATTAGAAAAGTATGGCGGGCTAGTAGTCGCAGTTTGAATGAAAATTTATTAAGACTGCGGCGAAATGGATCACGTAGTATCCACACTGTGCGCACTCAAAATGATACGGTGGCTATTTTTTCATCGCCGTCCGAAAGAATCAGCAGTCTAGTTAGTGTACTCAGGATGACTCATTGAAAGTGCTCAGCTAAGATATCTTGGAAGAAACGCATTGCTCGGGAAAAATGTCTCAGATAAGAGTATGAACAAGGTCAGACCAAGGTCAGACCAAGGTCGCTGGTTTATGAAACCTCCTTGAAACCAAACAACTCTTGACCGAAACTTGTTCTTCGACTGACTCATTTCTTCCGAGGGATTTAAACGGGCATTTTACGCGGGGCATCCTGTGAGAAGTTGGATGCTCACGACTCAACTTCTGTGTGTGCGAGCAGGATCTTTAGACCTAACTATTTGTTAACATCGCAGCACGCGGAAGTAAGACATCCTACACAACTAAAGCCAGTTTTGCGTCGCACACAGCGGCCGTCCTTTTGCTTTCAATCGCCCCGCGGTCTGAAGGTTAACGAATGAACTCTGTACGAATGCACTCAAGTCGAAATATCCGTAGTATAATATTAGATCTGCTCGTTTCAGCTTCTCCGTTTTTCGCCGCAACGTGCCTCGTGTGTCCACTTCATCTCTCAAATGCTGATTATACAGTGTTACTGGCGAGAGTAGCAATCCAACCGGCATCTGTCTGCTTGAACACTCATTCCAGTATATTACAGAGTTCATTGCTGTTAACCGGAACATCCATGACAGGATTACGCAATTCACGGACGGCGGTATCGATCTGTGTTTTAGGACTGGAGACATTTCGATTTTACAAGTAGACGCGATAGTGAACTCCACCAACGAGACGATGGACGATAACAGTCCTATGTGCCAAAAAATGTTTAGCCGAGCTGGTTCCGCGCTCAAAATAGAGATATATAACGATGTAAAAGGTACGTATGTGCGCGCGCTAACGTTGCCTGTAGCGTGCAACAAATATAGAGCTTGCTCTAATATTCTATTTGCCTATTGCAGAATGCAGAACCGGCGAAGTAAGAGTAACACAGGGTCACGGATTACCTGCTCGTTTTATTATTCATACTGTTGGACCAGTTTATAACGTGAAGTATCAAACAGCTGCGCAAAACACACTACACTGTTGCTACAGGTGACTCGAACGTGTTTAAATGTATTTAAATGCATGCGCGGAGGATCTTTAGAAGTATCGATAGTACGACAAAGAGAACGAACACAAACATACGAGATAAGCGGGCCTAGCTGGCTCTCTCGCTGATAACACGATAACCAACCAAAGTGTGTGTCCTCTCTGTCTCGCAAACAGGAACGTCCTGCAGAAGGTGAAGGAAATGGGATTACGCACCGTCGCCTTGCCAGTGATAAACTCGGTGAGGAGGAATTACCCTCCGGACGCGGGAGCTCACATAGCCCTCAGTGAGTATGCGGATGAATTCCACGGATGAATTGCAGGGTCGAAAGGCGAGACTCTCGCGGCGCTGGAAACCGGCGAATACCGGAGGATAACGATGCTTTCCCTCCGCAGGGACCGTGCGCAGATTCATGGAGCAATACAGCGACTCGTTAACGTGTATTATATTTGTCCTGGAGCCGTGCGACCTCGGGATATACGAGGTGCTTCTGCCGCTTTATTTCCCGCGGAACCTGGCGGAGCAGGACAACGCTTGCTGGCAGTTGCCGAGCGACATCGGCGGTCCCGACGGGGAGCCTTTACTTCCGGATAGACAAATTAGAATTATTGACAATCCTCAGCACGCTCTGCACGGTAACGTGTTGCGCTCTCGTCACGCGAGCCGCTCGCAGCGGTCTTAAACAGCAGATTCTAGCTCTTCAAGCACCTGTTCGCATTTGCAGGTGACGAAACGGTAGAGCTCTCGGCGCAATTGGAGACTTCAGTGAACATCGGCGAGCACGCTTTCGCGCAGATGCAAGGCGACCTGGACCGCCAAAGACTCCTGGGCGAGAGACCCCCCGCCGATCCGTTGGCGGACATCATGTTCAAGCAAATGCAGCAGAAAGAGAGGTAAGGGGAGGAGGAAAATTGACGACGTCGAACTTGACGATCGTCGAGATCATTCAGATGATATTTACGTTGGAATTTCCGCGGAAGATCATCGAATGACGTTTACGTTGAAATTTCCGCGGAAGATCGACTTCGATGAGACGGAGCGGCGAGCGCCAAAGCAAGAGCGATGCAAGAGCTTCACCCTGTTCCGAAAACGAAAGCATCGACTTTGAGATTTTTACGTTTCATCAGTCATCAGAATCCTCACTGAGTGACCTCCGGAACGTCGCACGTGGCCTCTACGATCACGTTCTGTTATTCACTGACAATGCAGGTAGCATCTCTTCATCTTCGCCCGACGCTCCGTGAGACTACTAGTACTGGCAGTGAATAATAGAACGCTACCTGTGTTCTCTGTTATCCTCTTCGCACCCCCCCCCTCTCTCTCTCTCTCTCTCTCTCTGCTTTATCCACGCAACATACGATGAAATATGTATTCGTACAGAATAGCTACCTTTTCCACCGAAGAAGTTGTTACGTAGCTGACGCGCCACACGTCGACAGATTTCTTCCATACCGACGTGCCACTTGACGCACGGACGAGCGAAAAACGAGGACGAAATTTCCCGCGGGAAAGAGCAGCTATCTCTGGACACGATCTCGAATTCCATTTCGGCCGCCTGTAGAAGCTGAAGATATTTTTGCCGACGTCTTAATGAAAGTCGCGTGTATCGATTTTCCTCGTGCGACGTATTGGACATAGACGAACTATAAGTATGTATGTACTTACCTGTCGACTTAATAACTCCGATAATTTCAGTAGGCTTCTATCGATATTTTACTGTTCACTAACATATCGCCGCTCTAGACTCTTTTCCGTGGAAAAGGAAAGCAGGAAAAACCGAACGAAACCGACGTTGTACGATTTCGACGATCGGTTGTTCACTCTCGTTAGCGTTCATTGTTGTGTTCAACTGACGGGATCAACGCTCGCCCGTGGAATTCGTAGGAAGTCGAGCAGAATTTGCATAAAAAACTTCTTCTTCATGCGTAATCGATAGTGACGTATGTATGACGCAAAAAAAAAAATGAGATTAAATATTCGGTATATCCTTATCATGTAGTCATACAGTCGCACATACAGTCATACAGGTGATGTCATATCAGTGAGGTCGCTTATCGATCTGCGCATGACGTAGGAGCTTCGTCTCGCAGTGTTTGTTCCTAATTAATTTCAGGACCGAAATATCTGCGTGCGTCACGGAAGTAAACTGTACACGCGCGAGGCCTGACATTCTCCGTCGCATAAGATATTTACTTCGAGAGCGGGATTGTCAGCGCGCGTAATTTTCTCGTGACGAGTCCGCTCTATTGTAACGGGGCGAAAGACCCACCTGTGGTTAAAAGGTCGCATTGATTACACGTGCGACAGTGACTCATTACGCGCGAGTCTCTCTCGCGACTTCTCAGGCTGCCTTGGCAGCCCGTTTGTTGCTCCGACGAGACGCCGAGCGAGAGAAATCGAGCTTCTCCTTCAATCGCAAGATGTCAAAAACGTGTAATAACTGTATATGCTATATCCGCGTTGATAATTCCCTCGCGAGTGAGATCGAGATTTATCTCCGGACAGGATAAATTAAACACTCGGATATTTATTTATACATGACGCTCGGAGGCATGTCCTCGACTTTCATTGCAAATTCACGGAGACATCGCGTCAGCTCGAGGCAGCGAGCGAGAGAGGGAGAGGGGACAGAGAGAACGTCTTTTGACTCACGATTTCGCGAAAAAACGCCTTGGAGGCATTTCGATCGAGGTCAGGGTCGCGAGATTTCGTTCTTAAAGAAACACCTGGATGTTAAAGACGCGCTCTTGTTATTGTCAGATTTCACCTTGCAAGTGGTAATTTGAAGAATAATACATGTTATCGTGTATGTAAAACAAAAGAAAACGTCACTTCGACCTTCGAGAGTCGCCAGATGTTTTAATAAATCAGGCTGATATTAAATACCAACCTAATGATAATAAGATGCGATTACTAAGCATTCCTGATTCGTTGATATCTTTCGAAAGAATACATTTTACCGACTACATTTCCAATTGTTTCTATTCCTTTTCTTTTAGAAGTCTCTCTAAATATTTTTCGTCCTTCAGATCTGGCAACTCCCGAATTCGATCAATATGAAAATCGCGAGTCCTCCTCGGACGGAGGAAATCGTGATGGCGCGTTGTGTTCTATTTATACGCGCGAATTCCTTACGATTTCGCCGATTACTTCGCCAAACGGCGTATGTTTGCCTTTCGTGGCAAAATAATCTCCCGCACACCGGATGCTCCTATCGCACGGGATTATTTCGACGAAGCTGGAATTCGCGGATGCGCATGAACAGCCTACGCGAACAACTTCCACGCGCAGTTCCGAAAAATCCCGCCGTTTATTCTCCCCGGGCGGTTTACACGCGAAAGCGCAATGTTGACCTTGCTAATTTCGGCCGGTGCGCGTTAATCTCACCGGCAGAACAACAAAGTTTCTCGGAATAAAATTTCACGGAAAGTGGGCGAAAATTCACTCGAAGCGATCGTGAAAATGTTCGCCGACCGCGGAATCGCTGAAACGAAACGTCGCGTTTCGCAAGAACACAACGCGACGGTACGCGGCAGATCGATATAATATCAAATGGCGAATTGCGCGTCTTCTATCATTTAAAGGCGTCGAGTAGGACTTCTGTTTCTGAACAAATTCAGTTTTCACGGTCCGAGTCAAAATTTTTATCCTACTTTCGACCTCAATATCCCATTTAACGTTCATTTGACACTCAAGCTTACATTAACCTACTTTATTTATTTATCTTTTTATTTATTTACGAGGAAAATCCTGTAGAGAAATAAACAAGAGTACAAAAGTAAGCTATATAAATAATTACGTAACTCCCACAGATTACGTTATATAACATTAAAAATTTCAAATAAAGTAAAAAGAGTTCTGTGCGTGGTCGCGTCTTTGAAACTTTTTTAACTGATAATCTGAAAATCTGCGCGATTATTTGCAAACTGGTAGAGGACTCTATTATCCAGTTTGATAGCAATGTGCAGGCGCACAATGCTATCATCGCATATCCTCCACGCGATCATTCGCCAATTTTCTTTAATTAATAAATTTTACCCAGTCGTTTGCGAAATAGCAGAAAAATTTTCGTTTTCATCTACTCCACACACGTACGCGAGAATTTTATACGTCGTCACTGTTATCAGACATTCTATAAGTGTAAATGAAATCTCTACTACTGGTCCCTCAGAATCCGTAAACATCAGATAATTGAGGTCGAAATGAGGACCAAAGTTCGTACTCGGGTTCGAGCGAGCGGCGCGGCTCATTATCGGCGGGAACCTGGCCGGAAAAGTGGAAAACCGGTGGCGGTGCGCGGGCAGAGAGGCGCACGCTGGCAAGCCCAAGGCCGCGAGATAGTATTACCGTAATTAAAGAACACATCGCGATCGAATTAATAAGCGACTCGCGAATCCCTACCCTTCGCGCGCGCGCGCGCGCGCACGTCTTCTCTCCAGCGCGCATCGAGCAGAGTTTCGCGAGCCGAGCAGGCGCCGTGGCGCGCTGCTTCGGCAGGACTCCGGTCGCGGTAGAGAGACACCCGGCTGTCGTCGTGACCGTCGCGAAGCCGAGGCAGACGGTTCCCGTTCAGCAAGACGGCACCAGCTTAGTCGCTCGCGATCGCTCGTGCCGCTCCTGCTGCTTCCTTCGATCGCGCCCCGACCGCGACAGCTGTGCATACGTGTGTGCGTACGCGCGCGCGTGTGAGTGTGTGTGTGTGTGTATGTGTGGTGTGTGTGTGTGTGTGTATGTGTGTGCGTGTATATACTTGCGCATAGTGCGCGCACGTCGCCTTCTGCCGGAACCGTCGTGTCGTGCGCACCGTTTCCCACGTCGTCGCGCTGGATGTCGCGGAAAAGGACGACCGTCGCTCGTCTGATCGACGATCAGCGCACGGCTGATTAGCTCTCGTCAGGCCCGATCGCGTATCCTTCGGCTTCTCCATCCGCCTTCTTTTCTCCGTCAGCGCGCGCGAACAATCGGAAAGCGGGAGGTGCGGGTTACACGAGAGGAGCGTAAGATCAGAATGGTCATGATTGACATGGTGGATGTCATCGAGGATGAGGACCGGTGTGTATAGTCGAACTCCTTCAGGAATACGTGTATTCGAAGACTCGTTGCCGATTTCTCGCCAATCGAGTCTCGCGATTCGGCCTCTGTCTCTCCCTTTCTCTCACGCGCGCGTTGTCCGCTCGCTATTGATCCCCGCGGCTTTTATTGGCGTTCATCCAGTGTATTTCCCCCTGAACCGGTCGTCGTCGAAGAGCCCGCCAGCCGATCGATCGATCGGCTATCGAAAAGTTTCATGCGTGATTCCGTGCCGACGACGTGTCGTCATCGTCGCCGCGGACGCCGATTTTGTACCCCGACGAGCTGCGAGCTCGTGCTCGAGGGAGCGTTCCGGGAAAAAGGGCAGGTATTATGAAAGTGTTCGGAATTTGACTTTCGATCGGAATAATTTTGTTTTCTCTGGAGGACACGCGGGGAATTTGCACTGGGCAGCGGTACGGTAGTACCGCGTACCAAAGTCCAAATTTATATCTTACTGCACGGAGAGAGAGAGAGAGAGAGAGAGAGAGAGAGAGAGAGAGAGAAAAGAGAAAAATGTTTGATTGAATGAACTTTCCGCTGAAAAATCAACAATGCAGAAATTGCGGTTGAAATTGTCAGAATTCAGTCTAAACTATTTAAGATTGCTGGTTGACTTGAGAAGAATTCTGGTATTTTCATTGGAATTTCTGAGCCGCTCACATCTTACTGGAAAATTCGGTCAGCCGACTAAACATTTTTCTCCGTGTACAATTATATATTACTGCAAATTTGTACATTACTACACTGCAACAAATTTACGTATTGTAACAATTAATTAAGTTCGTTTGCGTAGCTTCACGATATACAAATTTGTACTTTTACAATCATATACGTAAAATGGATTCGCACACCTGAAGTGTCTTGATTAACATGAGGCCTTCTTTTTAGATAAACTAACGCTGCACCTTCTCTCTTTTCTTTCTCCTTCAGCACTAGATTAAATGCTTGTTTCATTCGAAAAAAGAAAAGCGCAATTCAATTCAGCGACACAATTACCTATTAAAATGCTTTAAACAGTATGAGTATCCCAATCGGACACAAACGAGTACTTTCTCAGTGTACACAAATATCGACAGCCTCCATGAAAATTCTCTCCGCGCAAAACTCTGGGAAATAATTGAACGATTCCGATCGGAAACCTTTCCGGATAGTTTCACAATACCCGCCAGAAAGAATCGACGTGGACTCACCGTGAGACTCGACCGGCGGCGGTTGTGATCCGCCGAGAATTGTCCGGAAACTTACCTGAAAGAGAAACAAAAGGGGGACATGAGTCTCGGTGTTGCGAGCGTCAATCGCGCATACACGACAGCGGTAGACCGCGCCGCTAATTGCTGATAACGAAGTAAAATTCGTGACGATGCCGACGCGCGCTTATTATTTGCGATAAATCACGGCCGGGAAATTTACGTTCGCACGCACGTCACGAGGCCGGTATTTTATGCGCGCTCACGTTGAAATTCACGCTCCGTGTTATGCAGAACGCCGCACTCTTCTGTATCACAATTAAAGCTACGTGACAACAGGTCGTAACGCGAGATTCGAGACACGCTTCCGGGCTCTCTCGTTCTGTCGTCTGTCACCGTTCTACGTGCGGGCGTGCATGTGTGCGTTCGTTCCACAAGGTGAATTTCATGAAAGCCGCCAGGTGATTATTCAGATCGTGTTTTGTGCGTCGTCGTTTGCGCAGCGTACGAAGTCGAAGAGGCCTTAGCGGCGACAACTTTAAGCAGTTACCTCAGCTTGACTCATCGCAAGCGCGCTATAGAACGCGAAAATGAGGTCATATGCGTGAAATGAGTCCGGCCGACGCATTAATACCGCGATAACTCGCATATCGAACAACCGAGCTTGTAACGAACGACTTGTAATGAAGCGCACGGCATGATTCGCTGATTGCAGGTACGAGAGGCTTCTCAGGCGGGCGAAGACGGAGGATCTGACCGAGATCTCGGGGATCGGCTGCTTGTATCAGAGCGGTGTGGACCGACAGGGCCGACCGGTGATCGTGTTCGTTGGCAAATGGTTCCCAGCCAGCAAAATCAATTTGGACAAGGTAGAGTGACCGATTCGTTTTCCTGCCGACCTTTCGGCCGACCTTTCACGACACGGAGGACAAAAATTTCAGTCGGGTCGACGTGACAACGAGCCGGGAAGCGAAATCATTTGTTTTTAATGCCCAATCTGATTCGTAAGAATGTGGGGGATTCATAAGCTCATGGGAATTTAGCGACAGTGAAGACGCATTTTGCTTGGAGGAGACGGAATCTTTAGTTTGTAGAGTCGGGATTGGTTGATGAGAGAATTCAGAATTCATAAGTTTATGAGAATTCGGCTCGTAAGAAGTGACATGACGATGAACGAGTCGGAATTGTTCTCGTCTTCGAAGGAAACAGGATTTCCGCTTCTCAGGATCTGATTTAGTTGATGCAAATTAAGAAAAGTTTATAAGTTTATAAGAATACTGATAGCAAATGCATTTTGGTCGAGAAGGAAACAAAGCCTCTGGTTGTTATTGGCTCGTAAGGACCAGAAATTCCGTATCCTCTGAGCGAGGAAACGCTTTTGCTTCGCTGATCAATCGATGTCACGTTGATGGGTTGATGTCAACCCATCCTTTCCCACCGCGTAAGAATCGCGCGCGATGAGAGGTGGTGACACGCGCCGCTCGAGTGTCAAATCTACGCCGTTTCGCGTGACAACACGATAAAAGCATCGCACCGTCCATTATCGTTCCACGAACGCATCTGTCGTAAGCATTAGTTAAACATAGGACACGCGAGTACGCGTAAACACGAGCAGCGCGTCGCCGAGATTAGACTAAACATCCGGACGTTTCCTGCCGACGCGTTGGGCGAAAAACCAACAACTCCTACTCGCGCGTCATGCGCGGCGAATATCCGCGCGACTTTCGTCCGTTTCCGCGCGAAACGCGAGATAGATCGATCGTCGCTTATAATTAGTACGTAATTTCAACCGGCCATGAAAATGCGATGGCAATCCGCGATCTTCGCTGAGGACAAAGTGTCTTTGATATTTGTAATTAAGGTGTAGTTAAGGTCGCACAGTGGAGAAATTACAAATAAGAGCAATTACTTTTGCAGCGAGCGTCTGTGCCATTAAGGATAATTGTCATTTAATTACTACTTAAGGATAATTATTATTTAATTATTATTTTCGTATATAATTATTATTTTCGTTTCGAACACAACACGAAGATACAGTTGAGGTCGAAGATAAGCCATTAGCCGAGTAGAGTCAAGTTTTCTCTCGATATTCTCGCAGGTCGCAATCGGCGTAGTTTTCAAGTGCAATCGAGGATCTATTCGCACTCCACGAAAGCGCAGCGCCGTGTCTCTTATAGCCGCTCTCTCGGCCGCCCCCTGCGATTTCATCGATTCGTTCGGCTCTCACACAGGCTGGAAAAACGTTTCGCGGGGTATTCTCCCAGCGTGCAATTATCCTCGCTTCTTCGGTGCCTCGCCCGACGACAGTGTCGACTCCGGGTCATGTGTACGGGTCGTACTCGTTCCTTCTTTTCTCTTTCTTCCACTGCCTTTCTCTTTGCTCGCTATCACCTTTAGGTTGCTTTAATGCGATTTAATACGCGTTTTATCGAACTCCACAGCCGCGTTCTTCCCCGGCCGGAAGAGAGCCGACTTCATCGACTTCCTGTGCGCGGTGGTAGCAAGTCTGCCACGCCGACACATTTGCCCGACATCGCCCCGGTGCTCGATACTCGACAATACCCGTGTCCACGTCCGTGCGCGAAAGAATGAGACGACAGCGGCAATCGTTCAGCGGCTATCTTCGCGCCCATTGTGCCGTCTCCTCTTTCCCCCCTCGGGCCTCATCCTTACCGCTCCGCTCGTACTCGCGCGCGCGCACGCACACAGTGGAGTACACCAGCGGGTGGCAAATCGATATTTACACGTCCAGAAATAGACCGACCGCGGAACGACTCCCCATAAGGAGGGCGAACGGATTGCAACGTCGTCGCGACGACGCGCACACCCATCCTCAATGAAACTTCCTCAGCGCGCGTCGCCCTTCTAATCCATTTGCCCGCCTCGGGTCGGCGGGGGTCGTTCGCGAATACGGTCTAAATGTTGATACACGCGAGGAATTTCACTGGGAGCTATTAGCGTTCGTACTCTGGGGAAGTGCCATGCTAGCTCGTTCGGCTGGAACACACTCATATTGTTTCGAAACAATTTCGATCGTAAGGTGGGCGAACTGTTTTAGATGAGATTGGAATGTTCGCTCGTCGTAAGGCTCGAGAGAGATATCCGAGCGAACAATTAATTATCGTACGACTCATCGTCTGAAATTTCTCGACGAAGCTGATCCACTGATAGGATACACTTTCGCGACGCACTCGTATCGCGATAGGAGAAAATCGACTTTTCAATCATTCTCGGAGAATATAAACTTTCTCTCTCGTTGGATATCAAATACTTTCCGAAGAGTTACTCGTGTGAAAATTGTTTGCAAGCCCACTTCCGCCGACTGAACACCTCGAACGCGCACGATGATCCTGAGAAAAGGAAGCCGAGCACGTCGGACCTCCTTTTTTTAATCCAATAAGCATGCATTGCTCAATTGTGAAAGAAAATCGCGGGGAGGAACGAAAGATCGCGTCCTGTTTTCCTCATTTCTTGCCGTGGCCAGGACGAACGCAAGTTAAAATTCGCAAGTTTTACGCGATTTGGCTAAAACAACAAGGAGACACGATCGAAGCCGAAGAAAACTGATGATTTTAGTAACATTGACTATCCTTTTCTCTCTGAGTGTTCGACGATCGACCCCGCGGCCGGATCTACATTATTCAAAATCCTTTCCAACCTGTCTACCCTTCCCCGCTCCCCGCTCCCCCATCTTGTGACCTATATCTGTCGCTAATTTCCCGATCGCCCGACCCGTATCTTACGTCCGTCGTGAAAATACTTCCAGCCTCGTCTGTACGTCACTTTTTTTTTTTATCGCGATCGGTCGATTCGCGATCGTCGCACTGTCGCTGCGACTAAAACGTCCGGCGGGCTTTCGCGTTGACTCGTTACAAAATCGAGGTTACAAAATATCAACGTCGCCGAGCTGCGTAGAGATTCGTCGTCGGTATAGCCAAAAATACACATTGCCATGTAGAAGCGGCTGCTCAAACAACCTCTCGTCACACGCCCGTCGCACTTGGGGCACGTGTTTTGAGACGACAATTTCGCGACGCGTTATCAGCGTGCGTTATCAAGTCGTCGTTTGTCTATCACAAACCGCCTGCTCGAGATTCCGCTCACATCTGCTCTGCAATTGTGTTGTCGCTTTCGAGTTGTCGCGACGAGACACTTGAGCTCGTAGTCCGCGATGGCGACTTTTTATTAATCGGTTGAAATTTGAATCTGTTGTGATATCGATATTAACATGGGATAATACATTGTGGCGCAACGGTCGTTTCAATCGATTATTTCGATTTCATTGATTATGCAATGATTAGTAATTAATTTCATCAATCGATGGAATTATCCACCATTATATACACTTGATTGTGTCGATCGATTTTTTTCTGTCCTAATTGATCACAGGACGATTGGCAATTAATTTCATCAATTGTTTGGGTTACTTATAATCATATAGATGATACTTCCTTCGTCTCGATTTTGATCGATTTGCCGATTATTTTAGTCAACCAAGATCTTTTTAATCGATTGACAGTGGCCTACATTGCCAGTCAGCACGCTAAATGATCCGAGACAACGTAATCGTCAGAATTGCAATTCAGATAACACTGCGTTTTGCTATCAAAGGGACATTAATATAATTTCACCTTGGCATCGATCAGTCGATGAATATCCGCGACTTGTTTTTCATCAAACAAATGTCAACGAATGCCAATAATGGAAACGATCGGAAACTTCGGAGACGATAGAACAGATTTATTTTTATTTCCGCGAGATAACGGATTGTAACGATGTTGGTGTTCACGCAAAAATTGCACGATGACATCACTTGGACGGTCATAAGCGGACACGCATAGTTAAACCGCGTGGAGGATATGCGCAAAATGATGCCGAAGCGTATAACCGCGACGACCTCCGATAGTATCGCTTTATTCCAGGTTTCGATCGGTTTCGTACCGAGATAAGTTGAAGAATCAATAAAATAATAGCTCCGATACCGCACGGTAAAGATATGTACGTGACATGTAATGACATTAATTTGAAGCGAATTGATTTATATTCGTCTGAGGATAACAATTTTCAGAATCAGGTAGATTTCCGAGATTACATCACAGTCATTAAAAGTCGATCAGTCAATATCAAATGTCAGTATACAGTGTGTGTTAGATTTCTATAATTCTCATCTCCAATGAGAAAGCAAAACTAAACACTTAACTGTCACTAAATGGTACTTCAGTCATAGCTGAGAAGATATTATAAATAAACAAAAGTCTTTCCTCATAAGCTTGAAAAATACGACGATCAAAATCCCAAGTGTCCAAGTTTTCCAGTCGAATTTGTGTACTTTGCTTAACACGTTTATTATTAATCTGTTTATTTAATTTCACGATGAGGTTACTCGGTTACTAATTGGCATATTCACTTTAGTTCATTTATATGGTAGGGAAGAAAAAAAATTGTCGCTGCCGCATATTATATTGTAGCAGCGCGAACGTGTCGAGTAGAATACGAAGTTTCAAGTGAAGATGAGTTTGACGTGAGGAACGTGTTAAAAAAAAACTACTTTCGTTCGCGCAATTAATCCGGGACAATACTCCGCCTCGTAGCCTAATTTCTCAGCGCGAGGTATCAGTGTCGAGCTTACAACGGGCTCGGGTCACCGTGCCCGCTCATCGATCGCGCCATGAAACTCGAAACATCGTAGTGCTCGTCCTCGAACTTTCAGTGTCTCTCGTAAGGTGAGCGATAAAATCCGCGACGTGAAATCGCGCGACGTCAGGGTCGGAATAAAATCGCCGGCGAATATACGCAGGCAACTTTTCCACAGTCGGACGACGTGTGTACACGTACACACATTCTACCTTTATGTTTGTAACTTCTCGTCGCCACCCATGAGATTCCATCGATCCCGGGAATATTTACGCAGCGTTTATTTCAGGACGTTTACACCGGTTTCCCCCTTGTTTACTTTTATACTGCATTTTTTACGCAGCGTGAGCCGCTGATGAGTTTTAAAGGATGTGTGGCTGAGCTCTCTCCTTCTCTTTTTGCATTACTTTTCACGAGGCAGACACGAGATATAGCGCAAGTGAAATCAACGTACTGTACTGAGAAAAAAGTGCTTTTGCTTCTTGTGACCACAATCGCGCGGCGAAAAAGTTATGTGGTCGGGGGAAGCATTTTTGTAATAATTAATACACTGTCAGCGATGACGATCATATACGTACATTTACCAATCATTGCTTTGACGTTTTTAGAACAATAAGAAGATACAATTGAGGCCAAAAAAAATTGTATAATTTCAGTAACATTTAAAATTCTTGTTCCTTCAGTATATATCATATAGAAAATGCGTGCGTCATCCTAACGCTCTTGTTTCCCCTTCTTGCCCGCAGGCCTTGCTATACCTCATACAATTGTTGGATCCAATCGTCAAGGGTGACTACGTGATCGCGTATTTCCACACTCTTACGGCCAGCAGCAATTACCCCAGTTTACATTGGCTGCGCGAAGTCTACAACGTGCTTCCCTACAAGTGAGTATGTAAGTCGCGCGGCTTCGACCATCGGACAGCGCGTCGGCTCTGAAGCAAGAGAAATCAAGGCCTATAAGAATCTGTGCCTATAAGAACCGATCGAGGATTTTAGTACGAATAGTCCTGGATCGATTCGCAAATTCAATGTCTTTACACGGCAACGCGATGACGTCGACAGTAGGTTGACTTGATGGTTCACTCACGAGGCCTGAAACAGATTTCTCTCTCTGTCTTACACGTAGATATGGGATCTTGAGACAAATTTTTGTCTTCTTACAGATACAAGAAGAACCTCAAGCATTTCTACATTATCCACCCTACCTTTTGGACCAAGGTCAGTGACATGACGCTATTTTTGCGCGAACTTTACGTTGTCGCAAGAGAACGCAACTCGACGGAGAACATTTGGACGCGTACATTTTCTCGTACTCTTCCGATCATTGTTGAGACGCAGAAACGCACGCTGTTAATGTGAACGCTGTTATTGTATTTCCCACGTTTATGCTTTGCGCCGAGCTATCTTCGAGACGATCGCGTCGGATTTCCTGACTATTTGTAATCCGTTAGTAAATATACATGCGCGCGCCAGTGTTGGGTATTAATCGATCGAGAGAAAGAGAGAGAGAGAGAGAGTTCCTCCGATCGAAATGATCGAAAAGAATCAATGCCGAATAAATTGTGATTACCCGTAACGATTGTCTCCACCAATCACTTTGATTATACAGCGACAAATAATTGATTTCATCAACCGATCGAATATATTCATAATTATACGTATGACAATAGGTGTTTTTGATCGATTATTTTGATTTAATCGACTGTACACTGATCGACAATTAATTTCATTGATAATTAATTTCACTAATCGGTTATACAAATAATTTACAATTATACATATGATAATCGATTATTTCAATCAATTACTTCGACTTATTTGATTACACGCTGATGAATAATTAATTTTGCCGTCGATTTATTATTCGTAGTTACGGATGTAACAGACGATTAATTTGAATTATTGATTTGCAGATTATTTGAATCAACTGAGATTTTAATTAATTATTGCCCGATATTGGCGCTCGCTGATCTTGTACGTCGCTTCGCCGCGACAAGCAGACACTTGAACGACAAATAAAAAATATTACAACGGAGAATAAACGATTAGTCGCGTTTGTTGCAGATGATGACGTGGTGGTTCACGACCTTCATGGCGCCGGCTATTAAGCAGAAGGTTCACAATCTGCCCGGAGTGGAGTATCTTTACGAAATGATGCCGCCTGACCAACTCGAGATTCCCGCATACATCACAGAGTACGACATGACGGTAAGCGGCATATGCATATTCGACCGCGAAATCGATGAAATCGAGAGGAAAATGTGTCGTTCCTTCTCTTCCTTTTCTAAAAGCCCGAAAACCCGAATAAAGAATAACTCTAAAAAGGGAAAATTTCACATTTTTAGAACCTTTTTTAATATAATCGCGATTATATATAAATTTAACCACGGAATTTAATTGAACATATTAATTAAATTACATATAATCAAAAATGTGTGTGGAAGGCACCATTAAAGTCCTCCCATACTATCGGCTAATGAAGCTCGATATTGCACGAGGCGACGTCGCCTCTTCATCTTCTTGCAGATAAACGGTCTGAGGTATTATCAACCGGAGCAGGTCTCGCCCGCGCCGTCGACGTCCACGTAACTCGCAGGTGAACATCAGGACGAAGGCAGCAGCGAGGCGTCAAGTACGAGGCCAGATCGGGTGTTTCGCGCGTTCGCATTGTTGACTATTCGCATAGCCACGGTGACAGCGGTGCGTCGCTTGAGCGCGTGGGCGAGCGTATGCGCGAGACTCGCGACCGTCGGCGCGCCGTCCCGTCGCTTGTCAACCATGACGATAAGACGAAGAGCGCGACGTTGTCTGGACGTGATAAGCCGTGTCTTCGAGAAGGCAGTCCGACTCCGCGTTACTCCACCGAAGTCGATTTGTCCAAGTGCCTCCGAGTGATGGACCGCTTTCGAGCAAGACGAAGGACGAGAGAAAGGGAGAGAAAGGAGCAGATAAAGAGAGAAAGAGAGATGCAAAGGGACGATCGATCGGCCGTATGCGCAGGAACGTTAACGCAAAGTAATCAAGAAACCACTGCCCGCGCCTGCTTTCGACGTCGACCGGTTCCCCCGAACTCGCACGCGTGCGTCCCCCAAGAAAGCACGAGGAGAAGACGAAGAAGAGAGACGGCAAAGGTGCATGACGGCAATGTCGGTACTGCGATTACCGCAATCCGTGGATGAGATAGACAGATCGAGAGGAGAGGCTGGAGTATCGACTGATGCGCGTTACTGCTCGAAGTGCTCGAAACAGCGTGCACTCATCTCATCCCATAATAATAGAGCTAACAAATTATTATTCGCTTAGAGCGAACATTGGCTGCCAAAACATCTACAAATAATCCGTATTTTCGCCGCCGCCGCCGCCGCCGCCGCCGCCGCCGCCGCTGCCGCCGCCGCTGCCGCCGCCGCCGTCGTTGTCGTCGTCGTCGTCGACGCCGACGTCGACACCGATGTCGTCGTCGTCGTCGTCATCGTCGGCGCCGCTTGTAACACGAAAAAGATACGAGGCTAAAATATTAATCTCGCCCCCTTGTACATATTGCGCTATTCGTGGCAGATTATTAGTTTAGTACTGTGAGAGCGGTAGAAGGGATCGCAGAGGAAAGAAAAGGAGGAAAGGAAAAAGAAGAAGAAGAAGAAGAAGAAGAAGAAGAGAAAGAGAAAGAAGGAGAGGAGTTATCTGACGACGCGTCATTAGGATATAAACATCGGCTTAGGTATACAGGACCGTCGATCGCTTTCTGTTATTTTCGTATGACGATCGTTATACAGCGAAGAGCATGTGACTACTTGATTATTGTATATCGTCAATATTTTATTAAACCACGTGTCGTGTCGTTGAGAGACGAAGCTGTCGCGCCGCGTCTCGCCCGCGCACGCGCCCCTACGCAGCCGCGCGGTGTATTTTCGATAGATAGCGAATGTTGCTCGACGGCGGAGATAAAAAAACCGCCGGAGACCACGAGAACGCGGAGAGCAGCTGGATCTTACTGTGATGTCACATGTCTTCGGCGCTCGGCGGCGATTCGATTTACAGGGATAATTTTAAGCCGCGCTCTCACGAGTTCCCCCGTCGACCTGTCATCGCCGTCGCCGTCGCCGTCGCCGTCGTCGTCGTCGTCGTCGTCGTCGTCGTCGTCGACGGCCTCGACCTCGGCCTCGACACGCGGGGAAGCGCGACACGCGGGTGAGACACGCGTGCGAAGGGAAATGTTCGACTTTCGGCGCCGAGCGCCGGGGTCGTACGTATCGGACAGTTCTAGATTAGAAGAAGCAATAAAACCCAAGAGCTTGCTCTCGCGATGTATCTCGGGAGGTAAAAAGAAAAACAAAAGAAAAAAAAAAGAAGTCGTTATCGCCCCCTCCCCCGGCCCCCCCCTACAACCCTCTGCCCCGCGCGCCCCGTTGTTAAGCGTTTTTAGCGAGTAAAAAGAGAGCAAATTTAAGGGAAGTTGAAGCCTGTTAATCGCGTCGATTAGCCCATTTCTCGCGCGTCCGCTGAGGTCGCGAACTTGTCACCCCCTTCCCACCCCCCTCCCCTGTTCCCTGCCCCAGGTCAAGCGTAGCAACGGCTCTCTCCTCCTCCTCCTGCCGCCTCCGCGCCCGCGCCGCCTCCTCGCGATTCTCCGTTTGATCTACGGCCCGTTGGTTGACTTCCGGCACGATCGCGGGAGGAGATCACCTGGTGCTCGATCGACCGCGGACGAACTGAGAAAGGCAATGGGTTAATTGACCGTGCTACCTCCGCCGAACGATACGATCATCCGTGTTATCGCGCGAACGCATAAGTGTTTATACGCATCGAGAGATTTAGAAGAGAGTTATCGAATTTAAATGAACGAGGAAACAAAATATACGAGAGAGAGAGAGAGAGAGAGAGAGAGAGAGAGAAAGATATATATATATATATACACACACACACACATACATATATGAATATACAGGGTGCACGATTTATCTGAAGCATTGAAATATCTCGAGAACTATGCATTGGATAAAAAAAAGTGGTTAATGAAAGTTGTTAGTCTCGAAGGGGGACATCCAATGATATCAAACTCGACCTCCCACCCCACCCCCTGGGGGTAGGGGTTGGGGGCAACTTTGAAATCTTAAATGGAAACCCCCATTTTTTATTGCAGATACGGATTCTACGCCACAAAATACGTAAATTTTGTCCGAAACTTTTTTTTTGATTCGTGATAGATGGCGCTGTAATCGCAAAAAATTATATTTTCCGCAATTCTCCAGAAATGATCATTGGATTGAGAAATAAAAAATACCTGTTCAATATTTTTAAAGAACATAATAAAAGTTATTCTTCCCCTCATCCTCTCGGGGTAGGGTGGGTGATAACGTTCAAATCTCAAATGGGGACCCACATTTTTTATTGCAGAATTAAATTGTACGTGAAATTTTTATTGAAACAATTTTTTTCATTCGTGATAGATAGCGTTGAATTTTTCCGAGAAACTACTTTTAGCGTTACACAGGAACAGCGACGAGGACGTAGTAGTTTTATGTTCCCTTCGAGTGCTTTTTTAATGTGAGTCCCCTTGCCTCTCACAGATCGGTGTGCTTTTTTAATGTGAGTCCCCTTGCCTCTCACTGTTCAATTAATTAGAGTAAGTGTTCGAAATTTTTACCTTCAACTTCAATACACTTATTGATCCTTTTTTCAAATGACTGTATACAGGATAGAAGCCGCATATCTGCGGGAGTTTCAGCGCAAGTTCGGTTCCCATTTGAGATTTGAACGTTACCACCCACCCTACCCCGAGAGAATGGGGGGGGAATAACTTTTATTATGTTCTTTAAAAATATTGAACAGGTATTTTTTATTTCTCAATCCAATGATCATTTCTGGAGAATTGCGGAAAATATAATTTTTTGCGATTACAGCGCCATCTATCACGGATCAAAAAAAAAGTTTCGGACAAAATTTACGTATTTTGTGGCGTAGAATCTGTACCTGTAATAAAAAATGGGGGTTTCCATTTAAGATTTCAAAGTTGCCCCCAACTCCCACCTCCAGGGGGTGGGGCGGGAGGTCGAGTTTGGTATCGTTGGATGTCCCCCTTCGAGACTAACAACTTTCATTAACCACTTTTTTTTATCCAATGCATAGTTCTCGAGATATTTAAATGTCTTCAGATAAATCGTGCACCCTGTATATGAAGAAAAAAATGCTACTCGCGCGCGCGCAACCGTCGTCGTTATTTGCAGCGATGGAGAGTAGTATTTTTTCATGTTACCTGTATCTATATATACGTGCGTTATGGTTTGCATAGACTTTTAATACTGTTCGCGCTGCGAATAGTCGGAAAATCCGGAAGATCTCGCACTATTCGGAGGGGCCAATAGTATCGCGCGGATGATGACATGAGACGAGATATTTTTCACCCTTGCGTTGAACGACCTCACTGTCCGTCCCTGACAATCGTGTTTAATAAGTAGCGAAGTAAACTTGCGACGAACTCGTCGTTCGTGAGATATCGCTCGGCGAGATCATTGTTATCGATGATATAGCTTACGTAAGTCGTTGTTACTTTCGAATCCCGCTGTTCCCGACGAGGTTCCCGACAATTTGCCCCGCGCGACGCGATTGAACCGCTCGCCAAGTCAAATGCCAAAAGAGGGAAGAGGAAGGAAAGAAGAAGAGGAAGAGAGGAAGAAGGGGACCGCCGCGCCCGACGCGGATTCATCGTCTCAGGCAGGATGATGATGATGATGACCCTTTCGTTGTCACCCACTGACGCGTATCGCACCCGCCGTTAGTTTCCTTCCTTGTTCTGGCGTATTTGAGCGGCGAGAACGACGAATACCGATGGAGATCTCGACGATGTGTTCACGTTGAGCTGTTGAATCTGTTATCTACGTCGGTACGCGTAGCTACGCCAGAGAGTTGCCCAAAATTTCTGTACATATTGTAATACGAAGCATTCTCCAAGCTCCTAATCTACTCCAATCGTACGTTTATTTCTGCCGAGCGGACAAGTTTCCCTTGGATTTCTCTTGGACGAGTTCTCATTTTCGGACGACGGACACGTACGCGTGAAACGTACCCTCGCTTCGTCGCCTGTGACGTCTTTCTCTCTTTCGTTCTCTCCTGTTTTTCTAATAAATTCGACCTGCAAGTCTTCTTCTGAATTACATCTAGCGGAAGACGAATCGCGAGATTTCATTTCGGTGCTTCGTTGTCGCCAGCAGAGAAAGTGTGAAGTAATGTTATAATGTAATTGTATAAGGCACCCGTTTAGCGTTTAGTTTTTTAGTCTAGCGCTTGGTTGTCATCGGATTCGCGTTCGTACGAATTCTAAGAGTGCGTTCGGGTGTGACGCTATTAGCGCTATTTAGCGCCCTAGGCTGTTCACGGTGCTAGATGAGAACGCTAACAGACGCTATCATGATACGCTATAATTATACGCTATCAATTTTTATTCCTTCCGCAGTTGCGCACTGCATTTGAATGGGTACCTACATCGTAATCATTATTTTGCTGTTTACGCACGCAATGTACAGTTTCGTGGAGGTAAAGCTTCGGGATGCTGAAACTAAAGAGGAATTTAAACTCTCATCAGTCGGTGCTTTTAGGACACATACCGGTAAGTTCTAGGCCATCAAACGCTAATGGCGTCTCCTCGAACGTACCCTAATACGCAGCCAAATTGATGCACGCGCTACTTCCACGCTCGGCTCACTTCGCACGGAAGATGGCAAACGAGAAGAAAAACAAAAGAAAAAGAAAAAAAGATCCATTCCCGATGGGTCGGCCAGCCCCGACTTCTCACGATTCGCATCGGCCACGCGGATCAACTAGACTAGAGCCTGAATTTGACAGTGAGATGCAGCCGGTGTTAGCGATACTTTAAGGCACGTGAAACGGCAGTGCAATCTCGTCGTGCGACCTTAGCACCTATGTGAAGCTGGCCTCTCATTATCAAAATTTGAAAAAAATGATGACAGTTCTAGTTGCCCCCCCGAAGAGTTCCAGAGTTCTCAATCGATTTTAGAAATAGTTCTGGCGTTTTAAGCAGTCAAAAAGGCAATTGAAAAAAGGAGGGGGTCACCTTCAGAAAACCGTCCACTTTAGCGAGCTAGAACTCTTTCATTTCCGCTCGAATCGATTCAAGTCATGAGGAAAATCGATAGAACTCTTCGGGGGGCCATTAGAACTCTAAAGAAACTGACTGATTTTCGAAGAAAAATTTTTTCCTAATTGGACTTAGAAATTTTTTTCGAAAATCGAATTCTATCAATTTTCCTAATGACTTGAATCGATTTGAGCGGAAATGAAAGAGTTCTAGCTCGCTAAAGTGGACGGTTTTGTGAAGTTGCCACCCCTTTTTTCAATAGCCTTTTTGATTGCTTAAAACGCCAGAACTATTTCTAAAACCGATTGAGAACTCTGGAACTCTTCGGGGGGCAAACTAGAACTCTCATCATTTTTTTCAAATATTGATAATGAGGGGCCAGCTTCACACAGGTGACCTTAGCACCGCAAGTCGGAGCGTATTGTCCCTTCGACGATGACAGAAGCAAAAACAGAACCGCAAGATGATCGTTATAACGTAGAAGAATCTTTCCCCAGCGCGACAAAGTACGAAGTCATAATCGGCGAGTTATCGTTACTTTCTTACTTCCGTAGTACTCGCCGAGGTAGCATTGAGAATAAGTAGCGACATTACATTTTCTTTCCTCCCTCGCGCGCATTATTGTTATACTTGTGTCTCTCGGGAGGTTTTTTTGTTGCAACCGCGTTGAGCCGCGTCAGAAGTGCCGTTACGACTTATTTATCTCACCGCATCGACCTCACACCGTTTCTGACGTTGTGAACGTTTCTCGCTTTTCTCGCCTGAGACAATATTTGTTTTATACATTCGACTCTGCCCAAGTGGATCGAACACGACTATCGCGAATAAGGCACCGCTTTTGCTATCGCAGCACCCGTATCCGACGCTGCCGTTCGTCGCTATTGTACCTCGTACAACTTGACTTCACGAGACATTAATGAAGGTGCATGTGTAACCACATGATCAGTGAGAAGGAAACACTGAAGCGCGCGCGCGCGCCGATGTTGAACATTAATTAATAAAGAAAAAAGAATAAATAAATTTTTAAATGACTGAAGCGATCAAGGTTAATACCGAGTGAGAATCGCGTTTGCACACAATGGTTGTTCCGAGCGATCGCTTCGATTCGACTGGTTATGCGCTGATCCGAAGAAACTGATCCGGAAAGTGAGAAAATCGCGCCAAGCGGGCCAATCGAGCGTGCACATCCGAATTTACTCCAGATTCGTCTCGAGACGGAAATAAACACGAGTGCCCGGTGATTGCTTGAAATCACAGCGGAGCTTGATTGTCTCCTTTGCACAACGACGCAAGTCGCGGCCACGGTTTACCCGCACGAGTCCACCTCGCTGGTGGACCTCGTAATTTTGTTCAACTTAATATTAAGCGATTTTGTTAAACGTCACCGGTGTTGGGCATCTGATCGACTGAGAGAAAGAGGTCGAGCAAAATAATCAAAATTAACATCAAAATTAAATCGTGATTACACCCCCATGATGGTTTCAATCGATCACCTTTATATGATTGCACGATTGCCGATGAGTAATTAATTTCATCGAACGGCGAGAAGCCACTCGTGATTGCACACACGACGATTCGTTAATTTTCACCGGACCGATCCGCCGATTATTTCGTTGAACCAAGATCTTGGTCGATCAATGCGCGACATTGTTGCACGGCTCGATCGAGTCTTAAAGTACTTAAAAACGAATTATCGCCGGCGACGGCGTTGGCGCGCGAACATCATCTTTCGTTTTCCTCTCGATGTCGATGCACGATGTTCTAACAGGTGCACTTCTTTCTCCCCCTGCGCCCGTTGTAAATTTTTTGTTTCTTTTTTATAGAATAATAAACGTATTATTTCGACAGAAAATCGCGACGGAGCGCCTCCGTGCAGCGTTTTCATTTCACCGCCTGATAACGCTCCCCTCTCGAGTGACTAAACACATGGCCGGCGGATTCGTATTAAACTTCGAGCGCCAGTTTGAACGTTGGAGCTGGTGACCATTACTACCGACACACACAAACACACACACACACGCGCGCGCGCGCGCGCATACACACACATGCGCGCGCGTACCTTGAATGATGTACGTGCGTGCGTGTATGTGTCTCACTTGACACGTATACTTTTCCTGCTCTCAACACGATACGATCCAACAGTGAGACCTGCGACATCGTGGCGAGCGTTTCGCCGAGATCAGCAGAAACGAACCAGCACACCACGCGGCAAACACGCGTCAACGTGGACGTGCGATGCGACTAGCCATTACGGAAGGTCCCGTCTACCTGCTATATTGGGAGAGAACCGAATTTATATGCCGACGAGAAGCCGGACGTTCTGCAGGTAACGAACACGTGAAACTCGCCTTCCCGTATTCCCTCGTGTTCGCTCCGTAGGAGTCTCGGCCAAAATAAACGTTTCCGTTTTCTTCTCTTTTCGTAACTCTCAGTTTCGTAACTCACGAGTGCAAAATTCAACGAGGCGGAAAGGAGTATCGTCAACGTCGTCGCGTGTGAATAAGCTGAGGGAAAATCATTTTCAACGAGGAACTGGTATTCCTTCGGCCTCTCCTCGTGTGCATTTCTCTCTCTCTCTCTCTCTCTCTCTCTCTCTCTCTCTGTCTCTCCCACTATGTTTGAAAGCATCGACGTGACGCACTACACGTACTACACATAAAGTGAGTATTGATAACTGACTAAGGTCGTGAATTAGTCGATGAGATTCAATGGTCGTTTGTGCAAACTTCGATCTTCTCGTTCGATATATTAACTCGGAGAGTTACGCAAAACTTTTTTATTAGGACCGCGATGCAGTAGAGAACACGATCGTGTGCGCGTAAGGCTTACGCGCACACGATCGTGTTCTCTACTGCATCGCGGTCCTAATAAAAAAGTTTTGCGTAACTCTCCGAGTTAATATATCGTCGATTCGAGAGCCGCTATTCCTTAGTGTTTTGTCGACAATTGGATGTGCCTAAGATTAACAACGTCGCTGAATTGATTTGTGAGTTGTCATTGAACTTTACGAGCATCGCCATAGTATCATGACTTACAAATCAACGTAACGTAACATAACGTAAATGTAAAACGCATATGTAAACGTGCATGAACACTCAGGCAGCCAGGCTGCGGCGATATTGTAAAATTTTTATTATCTCGTATGAAAGAATAACTGTGCGCTATTTGGCGATATGCCAATTTCCTACTAGGAAGAATAGAAATAGTGTACTTTCACAGCTGCTTTCGGTTCAAGATAGAATTCGATTCTCCAACGCAATCGCTATTCATCCTTGAACATCCAAATGATTTGATCGCAAACGATTTATTAAAATATATGCTACTTTTAAAACGGATGCGGACGCAAACGTAATATGTGCAATCTACGAATAATTTTATACAAATAATAATATACGAATACATAACTAATTCATAAAATATATATTTTAATACATTATATATATATATATATTATTAAATTTACCGCACAATACTAATTCTTAATTTATAAAAGTGCGAATTTTGTAACTTTGTTAAACATTCTTAACGTTTTTCTCTTCTGTTACGTCCGACTGAAAATTGTAATGATATTTACAATAAATCATACATAATCTCATATTTTACATTATACATACTTTACATTACATACATTATACATTTTACATTATATATATTTTATATATTTTACATTATACATACATGTAATAATGCATATTATTGCGTATTGCAAATATCATTATAATTTTTCTATAATCGCAGGTAATAAAAAAGAAAAATGTCAAGAATGTCTAAAACAAAGATAGAAGTTGGCGGTTTTACAAATTAAGAATAAGCATCGCGCGGTAAATTCCACAGGACGCTAATTCTACGTATTCAATACCGTTAGCTAATCGAAGCTAGCTAATCGAAGTGTAACATCTTGACCGGTTCTCTGTTGACGGATATCGTACCAATACGAGAAAAACGCATGTTTGGAGCAACATACTAGGTGCGCAACTAAATTTTCGAGTTTCACACATAGATGGCACTAACGACACATGTAGTCGACATACATGTGTTTTTTTTATAACTTGGACATCTGTTAACAATAACCAGTCGCAATACCAACACATATCGCAACGCAAAAATATTTTTTCTAACAACGAAGATGTCGAGTTTTGTGCCAAATAAACAGCATTTGCGGGAAGCTTTGCTTTTGTGCTTTAACTTGAAAAAAAGTGCAGCTGAAGCATGTCGTTTGCTTGAGGAGGCCTACGGCGAACATGCACCATCGAAAACTACCTGTGAAGATTGGTTTAAACGCTTCAGAAGTGGCGATTTCGACACTGAGGACAAGGAGCGCTCCGGAAGACCAAAAACAATTGAGGACGCCGATCTGCAAGCGTTATTGGATGAAGATGATAGGCAAACACAAGATCAACTTGCGGAGGCATTAAACATGACTCGCCAAGGTATTTTCAAACGTTTACATGCCATGGGAAAAATTCAAAAGGAAGGAAAATAGGTGCCGCATGAGTCGACTGAGAGACAGATGGAAAATCGAAGAGCCACTTCCGAAATTTTGCTTTTGCGGCATGAAAGAAAGAGTTTCCTGCACCGAGTTGTTACTGGCGATGAGAAGTGGATATATTTCGAGAATCCCAAACGCAAAAAATCGTGGCTTTCACCTGGCGAAGCATCAACATCGACGGCACGGCCAAATCGCTTCGGAAAGAAGACAATGCTCTGCGTTTGGTGGGACCAGAAAGGAATCGTGCACTATGAGCTGCTGAAAAGAAGCCAGGCGAAACTGTCAATGGGCATCGCTACCGACAACAACTGATCAATTTGAACCACGCATTGCTCGAAAAACGGGCAGAATGGGACACGAGACACGAACGAGTGATATTGCAGCACGACAATGCTCCGTGCCATCGTACTTTCATCGTCCAGGACACCATGAAAACGCTGAAATGGGATCTGCTACCGCACCCGCCGTATTCGCCAGACCTGGTCCCTTCCAATTATCACTTGTTCCGGTCGATGGCGCATGACTTGGCTGGGCAACACTTGGCCAATTTCGAAGAAGTGCAAAATTGGTTGGATGAATGGTTTCGGTCCAAAGACGCATCGTTTTATCGTCGCGGTATTCATGTATATTACCAGAGAAATGGCAAAAATGTGTAGCTAACGAGGGACGATACTTTGAATAAACCATTTTCTGTATTTCTCTTGAAATTTTCCATTTTTTGGTCAAAAAAACCCGGAAACTTAGTTGCGCACCTAGTGTAAAATGTATACAGGATGATCTACGTAAAACTTAGCAATTAATCTTTCGTCCTGGATCATAGAAAAATATATATGTATTTTTAGTCTGAAAACTTTCTCTAAAAACATTTTTATATTTTGCAAACAACTTTCTCCGTGCGAAAATGTTCCCCGTGTTCAGGAATTGAAATGTTTAGTCTTATCGGGAACACCCTGTATATACGTATAGAGGTACACACCTGTGTATATAAGTTCGTTGACTGATATAGGTAAACTCTAACGTGCATCAAGAGGAAGCATCGGAAGCGAGTAGTCGGACTCGAAGCGAGCGACAACACGGCGGTAAACATGAACATTTTGGGTGTGAGGTTTGCACCGTTAAACGTCCCGCTCGAAAGGAGGCTGCAGACCTTGGCTGCCGCGATATGGTTCATCTGGACGGCCTTCGGCAACTTCATCGCAGTCCTTATCACGGCCTATCTTCTAATATACACGCAGCTACGCTACCTTGTGTTATTATATTTCCTTTGGATGTACTACGACTGGGACACTTGCAATCGCGGTGGCCGAAGGTAATTTCCGCTCTCCGTCGGTTTTCCTCGCGTAGTTTTGCCGCGCGAAATGACCGAGAAAGGATGCACGAAACAAATGCACGGGAAAAAATCTCACTTCGCGTAACTGAATGGTGACCAGACAAAAACTCGGTGACGAGAAACGAGATCTTTATTATCAAAAGCTTGCGTTTGGTTATCAATACTGATATAACTGCAAACATATAGCTGATTAGAAATCTTCTAATCAAGCTTCCTGTTTGCTGCAGCCGAGCTTTGGCAGCCGGTCGTTGGAACTACCACAAATAGAAATTTCCGGCTCACGGTAGAAGAAAATTTCACACACACACACACACACACATGGACTGAAAGAACATATCGAAATAAAAAAGAATCTGGCACATTAGACGTAATATTTTCTTCAGTCGCTTCGACTGAACAGAGTAGTGATCGCGCTTAACGAAAACACGCAAGACCATCGCGTTGTTCTGCGACCTATTTTAAGTGACAATGGCGACGTAAAATTTGCAATGATAAAAAACCTGTCCACAAAAAGAAGAGTCGTTAAACTATACTTAAAGAAGGACTATGCATTACCTTTCAGTTATGCGTGGACAAAACGAGCTAAAAATAGTATATTCTGGCGTTACTTCTGCAACTACTTTCCGATAAAGCTGGTGAAGACTGTGGACTTGGATCCCGCGAAATCTTACATATTCGTCTGCATACCTCACGGCATTCTATCGATAGGATTAACGGGTGCGCTTGGAGTAGAAGCATTAGACTGCAGGAAGCAGTTTCCCGGATTGGAGATGCATGCGATCATTCTCGACCAGCATTTCAAAGTACCCTTCTACAGGGAATATGTACTCTCGTTAGGTAAGAAGAGACCGACAGCTTTCGTCTTCGTTCATTTTCTTGTTTAAGGAGAGACGCCTCTTCTCAATAGCGCGCTCGATTCTCTCGAGGTCGGTGTACGACCTCGTAATATACTACGATACTCGTAGTATTTTTCTACTTCTTTACACAGGAAAAATAATTCCGTCAGTGTAACTGAGTTTTCCGTTGTTCGAGAGGAACAAAATGAATGTCCTAATTATTGAGCAAGTAATCGTGAAAATAAATTCCCAAATCAGCAATACAAATGTTAAATTAGATGCACAATGTTGATTTTGTGGGAAATATTCGCGATTCTACTTGCATTATATTTTATGGAAGTCTTTCTTTAATTTCTATATGATATTTTCTCAGAAATTATTGTGAAGCGCCACTCAGTGGCAGTTTAATTTTGTTTCTCCATTGACAGTTTAATTTTAAAGAAATTAAAGAATAACAGATCTCTAACAGACAGATATCTGATATTTATTGGCGAATAATTGTAATGATCTTCATATCAACAAATTTGTTAAAGGAAACGAGTGCAATCGCAGATTCGGACACTATCATTAATTAGGATGTTCATGTTAAGGACGTAATGAAAAAATCCGTTGTAGGAACAAAAAAGTTCCTGTAAAACGAAGTTGTGCAAACGAATGTAGCATGTGACTTGTTAATGTCGCTCGAAGATAAATTCGATAAGACTATGATGTGTGATAACTACAGCGATGATAAGGAACGAAGGTGAAGATTTCAGCAGTCACAAATAGATAAACGAATTATATCCAGTAATAATGAAAGAAACGAAAAAAATTATAAACACATTTTTCAAACACTCGGAAACTTCCGACCGTCAGGAGAGTTTCTTGTTTTATTTCTCGTTATTACATAGATTAACCGTTCCACTGTTGGCCGCTAAAGATTTTCCCTTCGCCTTCATGAGAAAATGAGATTATTTGGCGTGCGAATTTTCAGTCCATGACATTCGAGACACGATTCAATTGTGACAATAAAATAATTCTCGCGTGCAGGTTGCTGCGCTGCCAACCCGAGAAGTATCAAGTACTTATTGTCGACACCGCCGAAGAGTCCGTTCACCGGCAGAGCGACGTTACTCATCGTCGGCGGCGCCTCGGAATCGTTCGAATCGATACCGGGCACATATCGCACCCTAGTGAAGAAGAGGAAGGGCTTCGTCAAATTAGCATTACAACACGGGTAAAAGTTCTGTCACTTCTACATTTATACAGAGTGCACTTGAATTCTATCGACAAATTCACAGGATAGATTCAGTATAAAAACATACACGTAAAAAAGTTTCATATGTCATTATGTCTTATATAAGTATATAAATATATGTTCACAAGCGTTTACTTTCTGAGATACAGCTGCCACAATCTCAGTCTTAAAAACAATATATTTTATTGATTAAGTCGTTGTTTTGTTTTAAAAAGAAACTAACTTTTGTTTTAAAATATTTTAAAAAGAACTAACTAGGTATAAATATTATTACAGGAATTGTTCAAGATTTTTACCGTATCTGTAAACTGATTGAAAATGTAGACATCCATAATGTCAAGTGGAAATATTTTTTTCACTCACGACAACAACATATCAACGTCACAATGAGTGATTCTTCGGTTAATGTTCAGAAATTATCAAAATTGATAGATATATTATCTTCAAAACAGATAAAAAAGAAAGTGTTGCATTCTTAACCCATTTATCGTGACACGTTTTCTTTCGTTGTTGCTATCTTCTATAAGATTATATCTTGAAAACCGAATTTTTGCGGATATATATTTATTTAATTATTTAAAATTGGTTTACTTATTTTCCAACACAGAATCTTTCCTGTAAGTTTTTCGATAGAACTCAGAGATATTATACATCCTGTATGTGAAAAGAAAAACAACTTCGTTAATGTAACCGAATTTTCTGTTGTCTGGAAATAAGACGAAAACTCGGTTGCAGGGCTAAAAATATTCCTATAGAAGATTTCTAATCAATCAATTGCTCTCAGTTACCTCGATAAAATTATAACCGATAACAAAAATATCATTCCTCGTCATCAAGTTTTCGTCTTGTCCTAATTCGGTCATACGAACTGAGGTATTTCTTCCGTGTGGCAATGTTCACAACACGCACATACGAAGCACAAATCGCATGTGTGTGCGCAAGGAAAGGAAAAATGTAGGTGAATTTAACACGATCCATTGTAACACAGCACAACGTTGGTTCCTGTATTTTCCTTCGGCGAGACAGACTTATTCAACCAATTGTACGGCCCGGAAGGATCATTCTTAAGACGTTTGCAGAATTATGTTCGCAAAGTTATAGGATTAGCACCTGTTGTCTTCTCCGGTAGAGGATTCTTCCAATATTCATTCGGACTAATCCCCAACCGGTCGCCTGTCACCGTAGTCGGTAAAGTATTCCTCGTCTATTGGCAATTAACATACATTAACATACATTAACATATATTAAACGAAACGCGGATATACGCTTTACATGCATTGTTCTCAATCATTTGAAAGTCATTTTTGTATTTTTACATTTTCTAAATTTACGATATTTTAATTTGAAATTCACGAATACGCAAGGTTAACAAGACACAATTCATGCGCAAAAGAGCTCTCGTAGTCTTGTTTGTATTTTAGCGTGATCATAAATTCGACAAAAAAACTATCGTGGATATAATGCAAACAACTGCAGGTTCTTCCTCATTTCAGTTGGAAGTCCCATCGACTTGCCGAAGATAGCGGAGCCTACGGCGGAACAGATCAACGAGTATCATGGGAAATTCGTAGAGCAGCTGATTGAACTGTTCGAGACGCAGAAGCACAATTATGTGAAAAATCCGGAGAAAACTGTACTCGAATTAGACGTGTGATTGACTTAAGATGCGGAAGTACTCTAAATGAAAGGATAGTCGCACGTGTTCGACGTCGTTTAGACAGTTTTTGTCAAACTAATCCCTCTTCCATCAGCACAAAAACGATCAGGACAAATCGGTCAGACAACGTTTAGTGCTATTCATGTGTTAAGTTGCTCTATGGAACACAACAATTAAGAACAGAGCGAGTAATTAACATATAAATAGTGCTAAATTTTAATATATTCCGGTCGTTTTTGCGTGGGAAGGAGAGAAGAGGGCGAGCTTGACAGAGATGTTTACGCATCTTCGTCAAGAGGTCAAGCAAAAAACTTGCCAGTTTGCTCAATTTGGTTTCCGGCTTGATATCATGGCTTTCGCGGGATTTGCTTTTGTGTTGTGAACGTTTCAGTGCACTTTTTCACAGACAGGAACAGCTGAAAGCCAAATGTGAACGAAAATATTCATGAAAAGTCAAGTCTCGCAATTCTCTACTCCGCGAAAGTCTCAGATATCAAACTTGTCGGTCTTTTACGAACTAAGGTAGATTTAGGTAAGGGGACTTTATGCATTTCATAGTAATTCTAACACACATTATCGCACATATCGTTCATTCTCGATTTATGGAGATTTCCTCCTTGATATTAAATGAAAACTTAATATCAAGAGAAATAATCGCGAGAACTTGTTGAATTTTTATGATTGTGTTGTTATCCATACTTATTACACTTGAATATGGAAATATTATATATCCATATTACTATATGGTTACTGATCACACATGTGACATATTATTTGCTACATTTTACTCGTAGCAAGTCCTTGCTACATTCCTCCAATGGGTTGCAATGTTTTGTTTTTAATGTTTTGTTATTAATGTTAATATTCTTTCTCAATGATGAAACTAACATTTTTTTGCATATTTATGACATATTTTATAAGATATATGCATATTTTAGACATTGAAAATAAATGTAAAATCTAGTTTATGTCCAAGTGGGTACAAAATGTAAAAGGTGATATTAACGATTACTGCTGGAGATAAGGTCAGGGATAAGGTAAACGTGTAAATGTATATATAAAATAAATAATGTGTAAATAGTATACACGACACATGCGTTAGCCAATCTTGTATAATTGTTAAAAAAAGTTGTTAATTAAACATCACATACGAACTCATATAAGATAATTATAGCTGTGAGAAGAACTTGCTGTAAAAAAAGATTTCCAAGGAGATATACATAAGTCCACTATTATTTTAATTAAATCTCTCTCTTTCGTATTACTCTTATCATTTCCATTATCAAGTTATTCTTAATCGTACTTGACAAATCAACACATTAACAGAAGAAAATTAGTCGAAAAAAAAGAAAGAGACAGTTAAAATAACGAATACGGATAAGAATTCGAGGAACCAAAGAGTCATTCTCAACACCTGTAATAAAAATAATGTTGCTTTCATGGCGAAATATGTGGCTAACGTGGCTTAAAACTCTGCCGTACCTTGTCCTGCCATTCTTTGTTGATCATACAGTCGCGGAAACCCATGCGGGTGAACTGCACAGATATATAAAGCGGTATCCAGAATTTCGGGAAGAACGTGTACAAAATACGATCTATAAACTTTCGGAAGAGATAACTTTTTGTCGTCAATAAGTCCCTCATCTGAAAGAAAAAAAAATAACACACGAATGCAAAATAGATTTACGTGGACTTGATGAACATACGATATCCAAGTGATAACCAACAAAAAAATTTTCCGACACAAATACCTCGATATAATTATACATCGCCAGGTCGCATATCGCATGAGCGTCATCGCAGCGCAATTGCGAAAATTTCGGCAGAACCTCAGCAAGGTCCGAATCGTAACGGTCCATTAATTCATCGAGTACCAGAATATCCTCGAAACCCTGACAAGTGAAGAACAAACTGATACAGGATATTGGGAAGTAAGAACGCCGTTGCTTCTCTTTTCTCAGCAACGGTTTTATTTTTTCATCGTATTTTCATTAACGGTAATGTCAATTCCTCTACAGCTAATAGATATTATTATTTAATTCTGTAAGTGATTTCTTTATTGTTTATTGGTAACCAATAACGGTAACGTGTTCTTTTTCAAAAATTTCCCCCCTTGACTCCCCCAACATTGCAAACTAATATCGCTGGAACAAACCCCCGTCAACAGTACCCGAGTATCTGGCCCCGCGAATTTGTTGTTACGCCGCACGACGGTTTACATATCGATCGAGACAACTTACAGTATTCATCCCTTGAGCGTAAAAGGGAACCATTGCGTGAGCAGCATCGCCGACCAGGAGAGCAGTCTTCCCAACGTGGAAAGGCTCGCACTGCAAGACGCGCGAAGAGACAACATACCAAAACGATGGGATATTTATTCAAACATGCGAACGTCATTTACGTGTTCGCGATATACATGAATATGAATGAACGATAAAGGTGAGATTCACCTGAATTGATATCAGCGGCTTCGGTTCCGAGAGGAAAAAATCTTTTAGCAACTTCGGCTCACCCATCAGTCGCAGAAGATCGGGGAACTGCTCGGCGTAGAAACTCAACACCGCCTCGGGAGTCTTCAGCTTGTCGAATATGTCGAACGGTGCGAACAGATTGCCGGTGAACGAGCGGTCCTCGTTCGGCAACGCGGTCATCATGAACTCGCCGCGCGGCCAAATGTGCAGATTTCTGCCGCTCATTTGGAACTTTCGGAGCAAATCAGTCTTTGTTGGTTTGGACCAACGATACACACATGGGTCAAATATTCGCTATTAGAACCACTATAGCAGCGGATGAAACCCTAAGTTGGCAATTTGAGATACAGCGAGTAAGCTGTCTTGATTCTCTGTCGTTTTTTCACTCGAACTTAGGACAGTCAAGAACAAGAATAAAAAAGCTCATTGTCATATACTCGGTGGAAGTTGTACTCGTTTCTCAAGATTATAATAAATTACATTCTAGAGAAGAAATAAATCAACTTTTCTTTTTTTTACCCGTTATTCTTTCTTTAAATTAATGTTCTTGCTTGAAGTACTAAACTTATTAAGAGGTTTGAAATATATATCTTCAGCAAATCTGATGCTCATGATAAAATTATGAAAGATATAAACTTGCGGAGTACTTGAAACAAGTAATATTTACTTGAATGCAGTGTATATTTTTTTGTGTGTAAACTAAAATAAAAAAGCAACAGATTCGAGACGACTGTCTCATTCTGTCTCAAACCGCCATTTTACTCTGTTCGAGAATATTTGGACTGTGCGCAAATCGTCGTTTGTTTCAACAGATTCACACAACGCAATCAGCTCGATCGTAATCGCGTCACTCTCACCTCCTTATTGTCTCCAGCCGGCACCGTCAATTCCACGTATTTGTGCTTGATGTACGTCTGGGCGTAGTTGAAGTATTGTCTCCTGGCCATGATCCTTCGCACCGTCGAGTACGCGCCGTCGGCGCCGATTATCAGGTCAGCTTCCGCGTCTTCTGTCAAGCCCGTTTCTGTACTGCAAAGACGGAGGAGAACGAAGATGCGAGTGTCCCTCTCGTGTGCGATAATTGAATCTATTCCGAGGAACTTATCTCTCTTGAAAAAATTATTTATTATTTATCATAACTCACCTGACAAATTTCATCGTTCCCTTCATCAGATCGGCATCTACGAGCTTTTTATTGAAATTCAATTGCACCATTGGATACTTTTCCGCGGCTATGCATCGGAAGAGAACGAGTAGTGAGTCGTCCGGGTTGTTCGTTCAGATTAAATTGAACATCGCGTCGAATCGGTTATTCGATATCGAGGTTTAGGTGCCTTCATTATGAAAAACGGCTGCCGTGGGTAAGGCGATACGCACAGACGGATTCTTGCGGCTTCACGCACAACGACGTTATCGGATATCAGGGGCGAGAGATTGAAAAGTACTGTTTTTTCAGACTGACGTGTTCGCTCGAAATAATAACAATTGCTATCAGGATTAATTATTATCAGATATCAAAGGCAAGAGAGTGGAAAGTATCCTCTTTCTCAAACTGACAAGTTTGCTCGAAATGATAATTATTATTATAATTATCATTCATATTATTATTATTATTATTATGAATTTTGAGTTCAAAATCGTTTCAAATTACGATAATGATCCAGACTTTCTCCACGCAGTTGTCGGATGTCAACAGATCGCACAAATCGTATAACGCGCTTGCGCGCCTCAAACGCATATAAAAATTAAACTTACCATTTAGCAGAATTATATTTAAATGTCGCCTGTTAACGGAATAAATGGACTGTAAAAGAAAATATTTAACGTGTCGGTACGAGCGGAAGATCGTGAACGATGGGCGAAACTACATATGTGGAAGGCACAATTCAATGATTCGAAATAGCGATGGGCAATCTCAATCTCAATCTTCAAAGAAAATTAGTGTTTTTCCTCCAAAAAATTTTTTTAATCAATTATTTTCTGTTCGATTTTTGTACAAATCGATTCTTTCAATAGAGAATCGATTTTCATTAATACGCTTATTCATCAATGTCGTTTTATTTTATGAAAAATTCACATTTGAGATCCTCATACAATCAGGATATTGCTTTGTATTCTAGAAGAAGATAAAACTGATGATAAAACTATTAAATAATTAAACTCCAAGCGGTTAAAATTCTAGTTACTCAGTCTGTTCTAATGACACAGTTACTTTTACTCAGACAATATCTTATCAAAAATGTCTGAATGCTGAAACTTGACCGATTAATTCTTTGCACGTTCGATATGCAGTGATCCCGATTACAAGGCAGTGCAGATTAAACGAAATATTTTATGAATAACAAAACAACTGATGTTTTAATGAAGTATTGCAGAAGAATTCGATATCAATTTTTTCTGAAAAACCGCCCATCGCTAAATTCGAAGTAGCGAATCGACGAGCCGAAGCAGAGAGAGGAACTCACGTTTCCCTTGACATTGTCGTAAAGCAACTCTTTCAAACTACCATCCTTATTGTGAACCATTCTGCCGCGCATGATCATACCGTGATTCTTCACCAGAGCATCCTCGAGACCGACCGCCCTCAAAGTTTCTCGGCCGCGCAACGATAGCGCCAAATTAATGCTCTGACCCTGCATGACGTCTATTCGTATGTCTAAAAAATTTCAAGACATTATGTCGACTTGCAACCCTTTCAACCTTTGCAACCCTTTACGGCAAGTACTTGCCACGTAAAGTAACCTAGCAGCTAAGAGCAATAGTCGCGAGAGCACTTAAGTGCAAAGCGTTTTCACATACTATGTCCTTTAACGAAATAATTGTATGTCGATATGTATAAGAAAATTATTATTGGCAAGAAAATATAAATTAAAGCCCCCAAGTATTCGGATCCTACTCTGCAATAGTACAGGTCGCGTGAAAAGTTCGCGGAGTGGCATATATAAGTAAACGGTAAAATTATAAATTGTAGTCGATTATATAGAATCACTCTTCACATGAACCTAAGTTAGGTTTCATTTCGATCTGTCAATTCTTTCTGTGTTTACAAGCCAATTGAAGTTGACAGTATACAGATTGCGTGAAAAGTTCGCGGAGCGAAACTGAAATAAAGAATATCTAATTCTAAAAATGATTTTATTTTTCAATATAGTCTCCATTAACTTTAATACATTTGGCTCAATGGCTCTCCAATAATTGTTTTTTAACAAAGAACTCAATCACTGCACGCTGTTTCAAATTTTCCATTGCAAACAAATATACTGACACGTCAACTTCAATTGGCTTGTAAGCACAGAAAGAATTGACAGATGGAAATGAAACTTAACCTAGGTTCATGTGAAGAGTGATTCTACATAACCGACTACAATTTATAATTCTACCGTTTACTTATAGATGCCGCTCCGCGAACTTTTCACGCAACCTGTAAGTATCGATAGACCGCTACACAATGACCTCTTTTGGCAAAGGAATGTCAGAAGAGACAATAAAACTTCACGACGATGAGATTGACGTGAAAACACCGCGAGAGCAATTCCCAAAACGAGTTGCAACGAAACTGACGATTCTACAGCAAGAATTCTGACACTCCAATGTAATTCTCAGCGATCTTTACCTGACCGATATTCATAGACGGCTACACGATGACCTCTCTTAGCGAAGAAACATGCAGCCAACGCTCCAACCTGTAATGAAGACGACAACGTGTCTCCTGTTCTCACTTTCTCGTTTTCTCACGTGCCTACACCGAAGGAGTAAAAGAAAAAATAAGAATCGAGAGGTTCTCTCGATGTAAATTCGCGCACCAAACCACCCCCGACGATGGCCACGCTCGCCTTCTTCTCCACCTCTGCCATGTCCACACCGTTGCGTACCGAGGACTGTCGACCAACTGCACCCGCTACCTGTTAGCGCGTAGTTATTCGCTCATATATATATATATATATATACTTTCACACCATCGCGCCTTAAAGTTCGTTTTGTGAGAAGCTGATAAGTCCCTTCTCTCTCGATTCTTCTTGACCATTCAGAGAAGATGTTGCAAAATTATTACAAGAACAAAATCATTCGCGATTATAAGTCTTATGACTTACTTGTTCCTTCCTTTCTCCCCCATTCCCCGTTTTGGTGATATCTCTTTTTCTCCAGTCAGATAATATCTGATATAAAAATACCGGTGTCGTTAATTCAGAGTGCATTGCTCAAGAATATTCAAGGATATTATTCATATCAAACTCAAGGATATTTTTCATATCCTTGTTAGAAGATAGGAAAAAATAAATAATTAAATTTTCGCATTACATTCCCCGGATAGCATTTTCGGTTCACAATCGTGTACATCGGAGATTTTTTAATTCATTATAAATGACATGTACGTAAAAGTATGTAAGCAGATCGCATCTATGCGCGCTTTCGCCGGATCGATTCATTTGGTCGGCTTCATGAAAGAAGGGTTACTCGTGCTGAGTAACACGTGACAAAGTTTGCCCCCTTTGTCGCTCGGGACAAAGTCTGGATTTAAATGGGATGGTTGCAAAAGTTACTGATAATATTATTTTGCGTTTTGTACCGCAAAACTGTAATAATACGATAACATCGAACTTTTTTCCATTCGGATAAGTTCTTTTAGACAAGATGGTGTCGTGCGATAATTGCGATATTTATAACCCGCCTATAATGTGGTGTGCGTTAACACAACGTGACACTTGGATTAAATTGTCTTCACCGATGAGCAATTAGGTATGCCGATGCTAACGCGTAATTAAACTGTCGAGTTTATTATCTTTCTATTGATGTATTCATTCATATATTATTTCTGTGTGTCATTGAAAGTGACATTAAGAAAATAAATGTCGCCTTTCTCTGAATCTCTCTCGAAATATTAATGCAAATTCTTAATTTCTCTTTTTATACTTCCTGCAAATTTTAGGAAAGCTCATTGTCGTATAATATATGTATTATAAAATTCAGAGTAAAAGAGAGTAAGAAATAGAGAGAGAGAGAGAGAAAGAGAGAGAGAGAGAGAGAGAGAGAGAGAGAGAGAGAGAGAACACATATTTAGGATAAATATATATCCCTCTCAGCTGATTTATTGAGGAAAACGGGTGTGCGATTGTCACAGACCGAGATACTGTCCCCAATTAAGACATTTGCTTTAGCTGTCATTTAAAGAAAAAAAGATCCTTAAAAGATAAAGAGAAAAAGAACCGCGGAAAAGACAGACGTCGAGACAAGGGATGAAGCGCCATGTGAGATGAAGTTACAACGTCCTCGCGATCGCTCAACGTCGTCGCCGTCGCTGCCGCCGTCGCCGCCGCCGCCGCCGTCGTCGCTGTCATCGTCATCGGCATTGCTCTCGTCGTGGCTGTTCTCTCCCTGCGTGAGATTCACGCTGTCCGAAAAATCAAAAATAGCCGGTGCGCGGCAGTCAGTGCGGCGATGTCGACGGCGAACGACGGTTCGGCGGTGCGGTTCGGCCGATGGTGGTGGTGCTGGCGTAGAAGAAGGCGGAGTACTACTGCCCGCGGCCCTACGATGCCGACGACGGAATACCCGAGGACGATCGTCCTGCTGACCGTGTTGGCGTTGGTATCGGCCCTTCTCGGCCACGCCGACGCTGCCGCGAGGACGAAAGCCGAGGAGTCGGCCTCGCCCCGCGGCTCGGCCGGTAGGCAGAAGGCCGAGCCGGTGATCGAGGAAGTCACCACCAAGCAACTCGAGCGGCTCCTCAACGAGAAGGACTTTGTCGCTGTGTACTGGTGTAAGTGTGTAAGCCGATGATGCTGATGTAACCGCGAGAGAGAGAGAGAGAGACGATCTCTCTCGCGAGGGGAGGGGGAACAATCGCCCCGAACGCGAGTCCGCGAAACGACGACAGCTACGGGGCTACGGCGCGTTCCTCAGCCTCGACTCATTCACGCACATGAACCCCCTTCTGATCGATTTCCATCAAGGTAACATGTTTCGCGCGCGCGCGCGACGACAGCGGAAGAGGACACGCTCGCGCGGCTCGCGAATTTGAAGTCGTAACGCGAAAGTTATACGGTCGCGCTCGACAATCATGGTCGTATCCGCGTTCGAATAGTCGTTCTTTTGTTCGTGTCGGAATTAATTGCAGCAGAGGATGCGTACGAGAGAGAGAGAGAGAGAGAGAGTTGACTTGCGCGAAACACGGTCTCTCAGCAAAATCTCGCGTGACGCTCGATATAGTTACCCGCGTCTATATTCGTATCGACATCGAACTCACGTTTCGATTCGTGCGGCTTGGCATCCCTAAGCGGGATGCTACATGCGATTTGCGGCTGTGCTGCTTACTTTTTTATTCGAGGGATATATCATGTTTCGTTAATACGAACAAGATGAACAAGTACTCCCGTTCTCCGCCTTTTTTCTTTCTTCCAGCCGCGTATGCGAGAAGGTACAAGTATGTATGTGTGTGTGTGTGTGTGTGTGTGTGTATGTACAAATTGTTAAGTCACACGTGTCTCTTGAACGATTCTATACGACAGCAACGAGAACTCATTCACGTCGGGCGAGACTTTAAACTCGCAACCGAATGTTTCGAATTCGAAATATTCGCGAAACGTAAGATGGCATGGCGTGTGCGACGAGCGGCGGCGGGTATGTTGTGATAAACGGGAAGCGCCGTAACGCCAGGCAAAGATGATAGCGAACGCACAAGACCTTGGGAGCAAGCTCGAATCGCAGCGTTGAAACGGCTGCACGGGCATTTTTTGAGAACAAGTTTCCGCGAGAACCCGAGCCGCACGGCATAGCCGTCTCCGCGTTGGACAACGACTGTAACGGATCCGCCTGGCCTTCCTCGAAGAATCCAAATATTTTACGAGGTACCATGTGTATACCTCCAGCCTCTTTTCAAAAGCAAATCACATCGCTCGGTGAGAGGATACACGCTCCCGCACAGTGCCGGCTCCGCGATGTTCCTCCGCTTCGTACAATAATAAATCGATTTATTTTTATTTAACCGTGAAAGCGCATTGAAACGTTCCCCGACACTGTCGTTAGCGGATTACATAACGCGAGTGGGAGTCGATGAAAGTCGGAGTTACGGAACACCGCCCGTCATTGACGTTGCTCCACATGCAACCAGGAGGAAGGAGCGCGAGGGTAGGCGAAAGAAAAATAACCGCGGCTTCTCGACTACGATCGACGCGAAGGGAGAATCGAGAGCTCGCGCGCAGGATACGTGCCGTCCGCTTCGCGAAAGAGACAATGGCTCTCGCGAGGAGAATTAACAGGTATTAAAACCTCCGCCTCTGCCAAGTGCCACACGACCGCTCAGTAGGACAGACCGTTTCGAGTTTGCTCAACTAAGAGTCCGATGTCAAGCGCGTAAGCGCTTTATTTAATTCGCATTACATCCCCCGTACAAATCACGCGTGTGAGCGCGGACGGAAAACCGTCGGAATAAATCGAGCAATTTAACTCTGCAGATTTATTCGGACCGGTATATCGAATCGTGATAGCTTCGAATATATGCCGAAGGTCGTATCTCACGCATGGCAGCGCGCCAAATTGCACCTTTGTGTACGCGCTTCGGATTAGCTCCCTGAAGATCCCGAGTCGAAATTTTCGCCCTATTTTCGAGCTGAACTGTCCAACGTCTCTAGACTCCGAAGAATGAATGGAGGTTTCATTTATATAGAAAGCGAAGTCCTATTCGATGCCTTGAAATGGCAGAAAACACAAATTGCCACTTGTAGGTTCTTAAGGATGACTCTTTCGGCAAAGATGCAGATACAATCCAAATAGATTGATAGAATGTTGAGAGATGAGCGTTAAGTGGAATACTGAAGTCAAAAGTAGAATCAAAATTTCAGATTCAGCCTGCCTTGTAGGAGTATTTTCGTCAAAGCCTGCCTTGTAGGAGTATTTTCGTCAAAGCTGTCCTCCTAAAAGGACCTTTCGGCAAAACTGAAAGCCAAATACATTCAAAATAGGTTAGTATAGGTTTCAGAGAATGCATTCGATACGTTCTCGGATAGCTAATCTACAAGCACGAAGCGCTTGTGTATTTTCAAGTACCTCCGGCCCAGCCGTTGTACACATTCGAACTCGAAAACCGAAGCGAAAGCAGAGACTTGAACATCTCGCTGTTAGAGTGACCCAGGAAGCACATATAGCGAGATTGACTCATTAGGCTGACGCACGGCAGTAAGCACGGCAAAAGTAAACGAATGGTGATCACTGATGTGTCATCCGATCTAAAATCACGTCTAATACGACAATTATTTAAACAGTGTACACTGACCTTCAAGACCTACTCATGTGAGTCACTTTCGCTGAACACATTTCAGAACACATCGCTGATGGCCAATAGGAGACCTCAAATTTCCTGCAAATTTTTCGGAAATTAATTCTCCGATTGAACACTATCGACTACATTCTGAAGCGCTGGAAAATGTTCCAACTGTTCCGAAACGGTTGCACGACTGAATGTTCAAAAGATCCAACGTTCAACAGGTCGCGCGAAATTGACGTGCGATGACGGGCAATCACCTTCGCGGAGATGATGAGACTCGAAGGCTCGCAGGGAACAACAAAGGTTAACCACACACGCGCGCGACGTGCCCATAAGTGCGCACCGCGTGCAACGAAGAATAATGTTTCCAGGCATAGCCAAGGAATCGGGTTGCCAAACAACCTGTTCGTTGGTGTATGTATCGCGAGCGAGCGAGCGCCCGAGAGCTCTCGCATTCTCGCCGCGATTTTCTCTTGAATCATCTTTTCGTAACACTGCGTGATATAATCGACCCCGGATTTTCGGCCGCGGGAACACACACCGACGTGTATCGTGCGAGCACCCGGCGGCTAAGCACGAGCGCGGAGCCGCCTTTACCGCGTCGACTCAAAGTACACCGTCTTCGGGAATGCGACGGGCGTGTAACGCGATCGTAAGTTTCAGAATGAAGAGCGTGCTATATTTAAAGATGAATCGCGAAATCGCGCGATAACGCGCGTGCGACGGAGGGCCACTTGTTGCACAAAATTGTCGGACGGTCCCGGACATCGCCCGCCAATCTCCCCTGAGGACCTGAGGACCTTGTCCTGAACGCGTATCGAGTATTAAGTACGCCCTTTTAGCTCCGAGTCTCGTTTCTTTCCTAGGATCGTCGCGTCCCGGACAGCACAAATGTTTAAAATACATCCCAAAGACATCCCAAGAGACGTCTAAGACGACTAGTCTTAGTATTTTTCAGATGGGATCCCGACTGGAGAAAGTTTGATACCATTTTCGGCCTCAATATTCCATTTAACGCTCATTTAACACACTGAAGCCTGTTATTCGATTTAATCAACATAACTTTGCCGAAAGGTTCTCTTAAGAAGTTACTTAAGAAGGCAAATTGTACAAGGCACTAAGTAAGATTTCAGTTTCTATGTAAATTCAATCTCCATTAGTATTTCCTATAAATATTACTTATAAACATAAATCTATATAAATCTATTTGAGATACTTCAGGTTGAAAATACGGCCGCAATTTCGAGATATCTCAAAGACATCTTTTGGATGTTTGCGGTACAGTTTAGGAATTACTTGGGAAGACACACTCAGAGAGACACATTTAGCTTGTGCCCGACACGCACCCAGAGCAAGGTCTTCGCGATGGCGACCTCGGTGACGGACTTCGCTCAGGATCGAAGAGCCCGGGCGCGTTTCGAACTCGAGTCTGAAATTCGCGGTCGGCCGGCCGATTCCTCCGGACGATCGTCGGCGGACCGCTCGTTTCTTGAACACGCTGTAGCGAGGCTGGCGCTCCGGTGGACGCCGCTTTTAGCACACGTTCGAGTTATTTTCGCGCTCTTACCACCGAACCCCTCGCATGGCTATCGTCCCCGCTGAAAACATCATGTCGTCCCAGCCGCGCATCGTAGGTCGTATTGTTCGGCTGGTCGTCGTCGCGGACCTGTCGTCGCGAGACCCTGGACCGGTCGACCGCAACGACGACGACGACGATGGTCCCTCGAGAAGGCCGTCTCTCTCTCTCTCTCTCTCTCTCTCTCTCTCTCTCTCTCTCTCTCTCTCTCTCTCTCTCTCTCTCTCTCTCTCTCTCTTTCCTTACACCTCCGGCAAATGTTACAAATGCATCGCCATGCAGTACACGAAGTGCTCGGAAGGTCCGGAAGAGCCGCGCGGAGGATCCGCGGTGAACCCGGACGACGAGCTCACGTGCCGAACCTATTTCCAGATGCCGCGTCCTCGGTTCCGACTGTATACCGTGAATGAAACTCAGAATGAAGAATTTCCCTAGCTACAGCTTACGGTACGAGAGACGTCCCAAGACTAAATTCTGCGATCCTACTTCCGACCTCGATATTTCATCTGACGCTAATTTAATTAACGCTTTGAAGCCTATATCAAATTATAGGCTATTCTAATTAACCCATAGCTTTGCCGAGGGGAGTTTGTAAGAACCTGGGAAATTACGCGTCTGTCATTTAGAGACGCTGAGTAGGATGTCAGTTTCGGCATAAATTAAAGCTCCATTGGTTTTCCAGAGTCTAAAAAAATATCGGGCGATTCAACTCGAGAATAGGGACAAAACTTTGACTCGAGAAGATTTTCGGCAGTTTTTCGCGCACATCTCCGTCTCGTTAAATAAACCGTGTTTCCGCGATGTGGACGAACTTTGCGCGAACAATGGAAACGAGAAGACATTTTGCACGTTGAAAGAATCATTAAATCGAGAAGAGTCTGATTGCACGAGCGCACCTGAAAGCCAGAGATCATCTCCCGCG